CAGGACGGGCGGGCGGGGCGGGCTGAGGCCCACGGGGGTCATCTGTCCTCTCCCAGCGGGGGCCTGACCCAGCTTAACCCTCCAGCAAGGACGCGTCGGGCCGGGTGCGAGCTGCACCAGGGAGGCTCACCCTGGCCTTGGGGTCTGGAGGTTTAGTTGAAGGTTCTTCGGTGGTTTCTGGGGGTCTCCTGACGGGTTTGCAGCCCAGGGAGCTGGCTGGCGCTTTGCAGGTGGCCTGCCTGGAGGGCATGAGAGACCAGAGCTGGCAGGGCCGCCGAGTCCCAGGCTCATGCTCACGGGCAGGGTCTGGGGGGTGGGGAACCCCTGCTTGGGCAGGCGCAACAGTGGCTGGTACCCGCCAGCCCGAAGCCCGCCTTGCCCTGCACACGTCCGCAGGAGCTGGGAACTGCTTGCAGACACTCCAGGGGCCACTGCACCCGGAGTCGGCGCCGGGAAGGACCAGACAGGCGGGGCTGCGAGGGCCCTCCCGGCGACTGCTCTTGGGTGGGAACCTCAGCTCCTATTTCGGGGCCCCTTGCCCCTCAGGCCTTAGGCTACTCTCCACCTGCAGCTGAGCCTCAGAATCCCTCCAGCCTGCCGGCCTCCCCTGTCCCTCACAGTCACTCTCAACATGCTTCAGAGAGGGCACCATCCCGGTATGGCCACGGGGGACAACACCCGCCCTCCTGCCCCAGGCCCAGCCCGGCTGACCCGCCCGGTGTTGGGGGGTCAGGGGGGAGCTGTGGAGACGCATAAATCCAGGAGGCAGCCGACGGCTCCAAGGGGGGAGGCGGGGAGCAAGCTCAGGATGCCCTGACCGGAGGACAGCCCTGGGAGAAGCTCGCAGCAGGGAGGGCCGGCCTGGAAGGCCGCTGTCTTGGTGCGGCCCGGGACCAGCCCCCCACTCTCTGGAGACCAGACGTGGCCGGTGAGGCCTGCAGCCGGCATGTCCACAGCGCCCCGCCCAGGATCAAACAACAGCCGGGGTCTCTGCCTTTAGGAAGTGGGGGGCTGCGGAGGGCGGGCGGGAGGGGGCTCCCCCAGACAGGGGAAGGTGGGCTGGGCGAGGAGGGGGCGCTCCACTTCTGTTTGCATTTTATTCCCAGTTGGAGGCGGGGTGAGGGGTGGGGGCACCGGACCCCGCTGCAGGGTTGATTACGAGATGGGGCCGGTGGGACCAAAGCGTGAGCAGGAGCGGGGCGCAGAGACCGGCGGGTGCGAGCTGGAGGGGCCCGAGGGCGACCTGGGAGGATGCAGGGGCCTCAGGGGAGCCGGCTGTGCAGAAGCAGGACAGCGCCCGCCAGCGGCTCCCGGGACAGCGGGGGAGGTGAGCGCGGAAGGCGCCCCGAGGGGTGGCGGAGGCCAGCTCAGCGCAGGTCCCCAGTGTCCTTCCGACACCCAGCACGGCTGGCCCAGGGCATTGCCCGCCGGTGCCCCACGGGCGTTCCTACCCCCCTCCTCTCACAGGGCGACTCCGGGGGGCCCCTCATGTGCCAGGTGGAGGACACCTGGCTGCTGGCGGGCATCATCAGCTGGGGCGAGGGCTGCGCGCAGCGCAACCGCCCGGGCGTCTACATCAGCCTGACCGCCCACCGCTCCTGGGTGCAGAGGATCGTGCAAGGGGTGCAGCTCCGCGGCCGCTCCGGGGACGCCGGGCACGCCGGGGGCCGGGCCCGCGCGGAGGGGGCGCCGCGCGCGGCCGGGGTCGCCCGCCTCGGGGGTGCGCGGAGCCGGCGCCCGCTCCCGCCCCGCTGACGCGCGCGGCGCCTGCCTTGTAAATACGCCGTCTACCTCTGGGGGCGCCCGCGAGCCGGCGCGGGACCGCCCCTGCCGGGAAGCCCCGCCCCGCCCCGGGCGAGGCCCCGCCCCTACCGGGAAGACGCGCCCCCGCGCGAGGCTCCGCCCCTGCCGGAAGCACCGCCCCGTACAGGCCCCGCCCCTGATGGTAGCCCCGCCCCTATTCGAAGCCCCGCCCCACCCCGGGAGAGGCCCCGCCCCTACCGGGAAGACGCGCCCCTGTCGGAAGCCCCGCCCCGGGTCAGGCTCCGCCCCCTGCCTGTATATACTTGTTCCCGATTTTTATAGTTCTGTTACCCCCCCCACGATCTTATTTATTCCCCCGATTTCAATAAATTATTTATTCCCCAGCTCCTGATCTCTCCCCGGAGCCCTGTCCGGTGGGTGCTAAAATGGGCGCAGGTGGGGATGAGGAAGTGACCTGGCCAGGGGCTCCGTCTCTGTCCACCTGCGGCTGGGCCACGACCCTTGACCTCTGCAGGGCGGCCGAGTGGCGTGGGCACCCAGTTCTAACACGCTTCAGGGGGGAGCTGCAGGTCCCCTGGGCCCCAGGGGCCTGTGGGGCTCCTGAGCAGGCTGGCCTGAGAGGCGGCGCCAGAGCGGGCGCCTGTGACCAGCGGCGGGCTGTGAACCGGCCACTGGCCGTGGGCGCCGGAACACCGTGGGCTGCGGGTCGGGGAGGGGCTCCCCGGTGTGGGCAGCGCGCCCTGGGCCTCCACACCCCGCAGCGGATTCGGTGACTCACTTGTGACCCTGTGAATCCTCCCTCGCAGGAGGGAGCAAAACAATGAGACAGCAGGTCTGTGGGCCCAGCCGGTCAGGCACCTGCTTGAGTCACCTGCCTGCGCCCACGGGGGCTGGGGTGCGTGGGGTGAGCTGGGCTCCGGGGCCCGCTCTCCCGCAGCCGGCTCTCCTAGCCAGCCCTCGCTGCTGCCCAGGGCCGGCGGGCCCACCGTCTGCCCGCTGCGGGGTGGGAGCAGCGACGCTGCCCGCCCAGGGCTGCCCTGGGGCTGCTTGGGTGAGCCTCGGACCCGGAAGTGCTTCCTGCAGCAGCGGTGGCTCCAGCCCCGGGGGACCACCGGCCAGGGTTGAGGGGCAGGGGGCCCGACCCCTCTGCTCACAGCTAAGTGTCAGGCCTGTGCGGGGAGGGGCTGAGGGCTGCTCTGGACCTGGGCTCCTTGTTGGGAGCACAGTTGGGAGCCCAGGCTCTGAGGACCCTGTGTGGCCGTCGCTTCCTGCTTGACCACCTACAGCCGATACCATGTCCCAAGGCCGACCCGGGGGCCCGGAAGCCTGGGGTACCGGGGGCCGCCATTGATGTGGTGATGTGACTATCTCCAAGGTGGCCTCGGGATAACTCTGCCGTGATGACATCAGCACACGCGCAAATGTCTCTTGACCTGTGGTCACGCCGTCCCCTGCTCTGTTCCTCGTAAAACATTGTCCCCGGTCCAATCCCACCCCCCAGATCTTACTCCTCATACCATAGTCGCGTGACCACTTTTACTAGCCTGTGGCCTCAGGAAATGCACAGGCGCTTGTGCTCAGGGGGCAGAGTCCGGCCCCGCACACCTGCTCCGTGACCGCCGAGCCCAGCCCCCGCCCCGCAGCCCACGGCGTTCCCGCGGCCACAGCCAGTGGCCAGTTCACAGCCGGGGGCTGCTGACGGGCCGGCCGGTCACTCGTTAGCAGCTGGTTGGTTTGCCGCTTACGAGTCAGTCGGCTGGTTACCCGGCCAGGCGACCCGTGAGCTAGTGAGCCGCGAGTCAGTCAGCCCACCCGCTCCTCAGGGCACCCCCAAGCCCGCCGGCCCGGGACACGTGTCCTAGTGCAGACGGGGCCTCTGGCAGGTGGAGAGTGTCTCCTCGGGCCTGTGCTCGCGCCCTGGGGCACTTCGGGTCACCCGGTAGATTCTCGCGGGGTAGTTGGGAGTTAACGAGCTCCTGCTCAGGGAAATGGTTGGCAGCGCGCACCAGCACCCCTGAGCCTCGGGGCCGTCCCGCCCTCCCGGGGCCCAGCATGCCCGCCCCTGCCCCAGGAGGCCTCCCGCCACCCCTGCCCCACTCCGGGCCCCCTGCTGGCTGGAGGCTAGTGCTGGGGGTCGCACTCACCCAAGGAGAGGGGTTCCGGGGAGAAGGCTGGAAATGCAGGCACCGGTGTCCCTCCAGCTGAGCTCAGGGTCCCGGTTCCGAGACCCGGGCCTGGTCTGAGCGAAACAAGGGTGGAGGGACGCCCACTGGGAGACCGTGGCCCGTCCCGCTGAGGCTGTCATCCTGACCCGGGTGCACCCCCGCGGCCGGGTCGGGGCTGGGGCGGCGGGTGGCTTCACGGCCCAAGAGGTCAGCTGGGTGGTGCGTGTGGGCACAGCGGTGCCCGGGCCTCTCCCGGGGCCTCGGCCCAAGTGGGAGCTGCCCCCGGGCCTCTGGACGCAGATCTGGGCGAGCAGCCCCCCGGGGCCAGGCCAGGCACGGGGACCGAGGAATGAGCATGCTTGGGGTCCCCACCGGCCTCCCGCTGCTGCTGTATCTAGTGACCCCGCTGGAGGCGCTCTCTGTGGCCGCGGACACGTTCACGCTGGGGCTGCCCCCCATCTCCACCTGCTCACTTTCACCCACCGTTCAGCTGCGCCCCATGGGGCTTCCCTGAAACACACCCCACAACCCTCTCGTCAGGGTCCACCCCACTCAGCACCCAAAGTGTCCCCTTGAGGGCAGATGCCCAAGGCCTGCCCCAAGTCGGTCCAACCAGGCGCCCCGGCCGAGCCTGGCTCTGCTTCCCGTGGCCAGGAGCCGGCGAGTGGGAGCCTCGCAAGTGTGCCCCGGGGAGTGGACGAGGGAAGAAGGACCGGGTCCCCGAGGCCCTGACGCCCTGAGAGCCTGGACACGCGCCTGCCCAGGCGGGGCCAGTGGACACTGGGGTGGGCCCGGGGCCTCCTTTGTTCCCGTGTCCTCGCTGAGGGTCGGTCCCAGGTGTGCATGGCCGATGCGGGGCGGCCCTGTCACCCTCTCCTGCCTCGTCCTGTGGCTGGTTTCGGGGCTGCCCCACCGCGGTTGCGCCACCCACAAGGGCCCCAGACCCAAGGACCAGCCTGGACACGCCGTTTGTGCTTTCATTTATTGGAGGGCTCTGGCTCGGGTGGGCACTCAGATCCCCAGGGCCACACCCATCACCAGACAGGCCGTGGCGGGTCCCCGACTCTGTCCTCAGAGCATGTCGCACCAGCTTTCTTTGGTGGTTTTCTGTTTTGTCGTCGGGGGGGTCATCGTGGCCTGCACCAGGGGTTGGCCCCACTTGAAGCCCAGGCGCTTGAGGCCCAGGAAGCTGTACTGCCCGAAGATGCCGGTCAGCACACGGCCGGGTTCGTCAGGGTAGGCAGTAAAGGTGCGGCCCTCCTTCCGCCCAAACGAGGCGCTGCGCCCGAAGTCGGTGGAGAAGACCAGGTAGCGGAAGTAGTTCTTGCTGGTGCCGTACACGGAAATGACGTGCTCGCCCGGCCGCAGAATGAACTCCTGGTTGATGACGTCCTTCTTGCCGCACATCTCGCTCCAGACGGAGCCTTGTCTCAGGGAGACCCTAGGGAGGGGAGCCGTGGGGGGACGTCCTGGGTGACCCCTGCCTGGTTGTCGCCCCCCCCCCAACCACACAGGGCAGCGGCCCATGCGCCGAGGGTGCCCGGGCCGCCCTGGGTGCTGAGACGGGAATGTTGCTCTGCCCGCAGGGACTCTGGGGTGTGGGCCTCTTCCCCAGCTTCTCTGGGCCTCGGTTTCCCTCTCTGTAATGGGGGGTGACCGTTGGGAACCAGCATGAAGCCCGCCCCTCAGCCCCTGTCAAGGCCCAGGGTGGGGAGCTGCCCTGGGGCCCGGGTCGCAGGCCTGAGCACAGGTGACCCCACGCTCACCTGGGCCCACTGGCTCCGCGGCCAGGGCTTCCGGGGCCTCCCCCACCTCGGTGCTGCCCCAGCCCCCCCACCCTCGCTGTGCCCTTGGGGCGCTGGCTGCTCGGCCCCATTCCCTCTCCCAGGTGCCGGGGACCCCAAAAGCACTGAGCACAAAGGGCCCCAGGCCCCTGCACACCCCACCCAACGCTGGGGCAATGGCCTTGACGGAGAGGCAAGGGGATCACCCCTGCCCGCATGGGAGCAGCCCCGGAAGCCCCGGCGCCCTACGCACCCTTTAATGTGGCCGGCCAAGCCCATGGACACCCGGATGCCGGTGATATCACTGTCGCTGCTCTGGGGCACCGAGCAGGAGGTGCCGCGCCCAGCCCCGTACATCTCTGGATGTGAAGATGGAGACAGGGGAACCCGGTGACGCGGGTCCTCAGACGGGGCCGTCCTGACCCCGAGGCCTCTGGGGTGGGGCCCACGCCCGGGTCTCAGGATTGGGGGTGGCCCAGCCCGACTCACGTCTGGCCCAGCAGGCGCCGCTCCACAGCAGGAGGCTCAGCCACAGCAGCATGGTGTCGCAGGCCCGGCAGCCCCTGGGGAGAGAGGGAGCTCGCAGGCGCCCAGCCAGGCCCCCCGCCGCCCCGCTCGAGCCCTACCTGGAAGCGGTCTGGTCGGCAGCCCTGCCCGAGTCCTGGGCGCTGCTCCCCGGAGCCCTTTATACCCTCCCGGGCCCTGTGGGCCCCCGGCCAGAAGGAAGAGCTGGGGTGGGGGCTGTCGCTGGGGGGGCTCCCCAGAGCATCCTGGGGCGGCTCCGGACGTGCCGTGTTTGCTGTTCTGGCCCCGCGGCCTACACAAACAGCCCGGAACAGTGACAGGCGCCCGCTGTCCCCTCCGGGTGTCTCAGCGCCTGGACTAACTCGGCTCAGAGGTGGGGGAGGGTCGTCCAGCTTGGCCCGGACCCCAGGGCAGGAGCAGGGCCCACGTCCGCAGGCGCCCCTGGGCCGGATCCTGCCGGCCGCAGCCCGGTGCCCAGCTGCCGCGTGGCCTCGGCGGGCCGGGGTCCGGCCAGGGTGCCAGGCACCCAGGTGCTGCCTCAGGCCTGTCCCTGAGGCCACCTGTGACGCCCACTGTGTGGGGTTGGGCGCTGCTGGGATGTGCGGCCTCCACACTGTGGACAGTGGGCTCGAAGCCCGGCAGGGGCACGGGGAGAAGGGGCCACTGTGCAGCCCCAGCCCTGCCTGACGGGATGGGACCCCCACGGGAGGGCTTGTCCAGCAGGCAGCAGGGCTTCTCGGGGCCTGGCCTCTGCCCTCCAGCCCTATGGGCAAATCCAGGCTCTCGGTGTGGGCTGCCGCCAGGGCTGCCCACGGGTCCCCCGCGCTGGGGAAGGGCCGTGGACACGGAGGTGACTGTGGCATGGGTGCCAAGCCACCGGGTCCGGACCCCGCTGCTCTCAGCCGGGCTGACCGTCTGGCAGCCTCTGCCGTCTCCTCCTCTCGGGGCTCTGAGAACCCCGGGAGGCCCGCCTCGGGGCCTGCGCTGGGACGGCCCCACAGAGGGCGCACGGGCACCGGTGGCGGTCACTGGAGATGGTGTCGTGGCCCCTGGGCTCCTCTTGCACCAGAGTAGGCAGCCTGGCTGCCCTGTCCATGCCCAGCGGCATGTGGCGAGGGGGGCCTGGTGGCTGCACCCCTGACCTGCCCGGCGCAGGACCCGGGATCGCACTTTACATTTTTAAGTGGCTGAAAACGATTCCAAAGGCAAATGCTGTTTGGTGACACATGCAAAGTCGTTCCGTGAGATTCGGGGCCATGCCCACGAGTGTGGCACCTCAGGCAGCCTCGCCCACCCTCGGGCCTCCGCGGCGAGGCCGGGCCAGGCTGTCCTGCAGAGGTGGCGTTCGCGGCCCCTCACCCGCAGCCACGGATTCCCTCCCGGCCACGGTGCTGCCCCGCCCGGGTGCTGGCGGCCGCGGGGCTCAGGGGGGACTGGGGGCTCCATTTAACACTCAGCCTTTACTGGGGAGCAGAACAGAGAGAGAGGAGTATGTCCGGAGCCGTCCCTTTCTCCGGCCTGCACTGGTCTCCCTGGACCAGCTCCTGATGGCTCAGGCCCCACTGACTCACGTAGGAAGGTGAGGGCCCCCACCTGCCCCCCAAAGCTCCTCATCCTTCCCAGCGACCTTCAGGTCTGTAAACGCAGCAGAGGCTGGCGCGGGGAGGCAGCGGCCTGCAGAATGCACACAGAATGCACACAGTAAATAAGCCTCCCACCCCCTGACCCGAGGGGCTCCTGCCTTGTAGATATGCCGTCTACCTCCCGGGTGCCCGGGAGCCCGCACCTGCCGGAAATCCCCGCCCCGTGGGGGCGAGGCTCCGCCCCTAGAACGCCCCGCCCCGGGGCAGGCTCCGCCCCCTGCCTGTATATACTTGTTCCCGATTTTTATAGTTCTGTTACCCCCCCCACGATCTTATTTATTCCCCCGATTTCAATAAATTATTTATTCCCCAGCTCCTGATCTCTCCCCGGAGCCCTGTCCGGTGGGTGCTAAAATGGGCGCAGGTGGGGATGAGGAAGTGACCTGGCCAAGAGCTCGGCCTCTGTCCACCTGCAGCTGGGCCGCGACCCTTGACCTCTGCAGGGCGGCGGAGTGGCGCAGGCACCCAGTTCTAACACGCTTCAGGGGGGAGCTGCAGGTCCCCTGGGCCCCAGGGGCCTGTGGGGCTCCTGAGTGGGCTGGCCTGAGATGCGGCGGCCAGAGCGGATGCCTGGCCCTGGCTTCCCAGTGTGGGCAGCATAGTCTGGGCCTCCACACCCCGCAGCGGATTCGGTGACTCACTTGTGACCCTGTGAATCCTCCCTCGCAGGAGGGAGCAAAACAATGAGACAGCAGGTCTGTGGGCCCAGCCGGTCAGGCACCTGCTTGAGTCACCTGCCTGCGCCCACGGGGGCTGGGGTGCGTGGGGTGAGCTGGGCCCCGGCGCCCGCTCTCCCGCAGCCGGCTCTCCTAGCCAGCCCTCGCTGCTGCCCAGGGCCGGCGGGCCCACCGTCTGCCCGCTGCGGGGTGGGGGCAGCGACGCTGCCCACCCAGGGCTGCCGTGGGGCTGCTTGGGTGAGCCTCGGACCCGGAAGTGCTTCCTGCAGCAGCGGTGGCTCCAGCCCCGGGGGACCACCGGCCGGGTGCAGGGACAGATCCCTCTGCTCACAGCCCTCTGGCTCTCCCTCTACGGTGGGGCCTGACAGACACCTCTACCGTCAGCTGCCCATCCCAGCTGCCCCATCACCTTCAGGCTCTGTCCATGGCACCTCCCTGGGCCCAAGGACTTGGGGTGCAGCTGGGGAAGCAGGGCCACCCCAGTGGGGGCTGGAGACTGTGTCCCCTGCAGGGGGCAAGCACCCTTGCTGGCTGCTGCCCTCATCTCAGCTGGGTGGAGGCCCCACCAGCTCCTCTGAAGCCCATGCTGGGTGGACTGGCGTGGGATGGCCATGCTTTCCCCTCCTCTCCAGGCCAGGTCCCCGGTCCTATAGGGTGGGAGGAGCCTTGGTCACCCACGCAGAGGACGCTGGCGTGGTGGGTGGTGATTGCCGGCCTCCCCTCCCGCGGGGCCATGAGTGGGCCCAGACCCCGGATCCTGCCTGACAAGAAGAGGACCAGGTCCCGGAGGCTGCTGCCTGCTCCTGCTGCTGTAGCTGTCATGTCTGCGGGGTGTCCTGTCCCTCACCCTCCCACCTGCCGCAACCCCCCGGGGGGACTCGGGTGTCTCAGGCATCTCTCCTCCTCGGTGGGCAACAGCCCAGTCAAAGTCAGGCTGCACACCACTGTCCTTTCCGAGTGATGGAGCCTGTCCCCCACCAGCGGTGTCAGCGGGTTCCGATCCCCACACCCTGGCTGGGCCCAGAGCAACGTGGTATCCCCCAGGGTCTGTACCTCACGGGCCCTGTGACTCTGATGTGGGGGTGTCGTCGGGGCCCTGCAGCACTGGGCACCTGCTCCTGTGACAGTCCCTGGTGGGGCGATGACCTATACATCGCGTCTCGTCATTGTAAAGTGCAGGTGTGTCTCCCAACGCACTGCGCCCCACCAGCCCCAAAGTCCATGGTATCGGAGCTCACAAAAGTAGCCACTGGGCTCAGCCAGCCACCCCCCTCCCTGCTGCCCCCAGCCACGTGTTGCCCCCACCCCCCGCCCGCCGCACCAGTATGGAGAGCAGGCCTCGACAGGTGATTAGGGGAACCAGGTCCCGTGTGGACAGATGCGGTCTGCCAGGCCCTCAGCAGGGACACGTGGACTCGGCCGCCACGGGGAGCCCCGGGGAGCCCCGGAAGGAGGGTGCCCGCCAGCCAAGGACAGAGGCCTGGGAGGACTGACCACGAGGCCACCTCGGTCTGCACTTGACTCACAGCCTCGGAGCAGAGCCTGGCGGTGCTGGTGTTCAGCCATCCACCTGGGGGTAGTTCAGGCCCCTGAAAGGGCAACCCTCTCTCTGGCCATATACGTGAGACCCTTGTCCAAGTGGGTGCCCGCAGCCCCGCTAGGAAAGTGGCCCCAAGTCTGGCCTCGTGGGGAGGGTCACAGCCGGGCCTGGCCTGCTGTCCATCCGACGCTCTCAGGTGACCCGAGGTCGGGAGCTGAGTGGTGACCAGCCCAGGAACCCGGTTCACCGGTACCCCCCACAGACGCTCCGGAGACTCTGAGCCCCGGGCTTCCTCGTGTGGTCTCCCTGGCCGCCCAGGCCCTTATCTGCACATGTGTAGGTGGTGGGGCGCCCACGGCAAGCCCCATCTCAAATGTTGAGGGACGCACCTCCTGTCTGCAAGTGTCTTCTTTGCCTCCGACAGGGCCCTGAACTCATGACCCCGACTAAGGCTTTGACGAGGGAGCCCCTCGTGGCCCTGGGGTGGGCAGAAGCCCCAGTGGATTCTCTGAAGCTGCCCCTGGGCCCAGCCCCTCAGACCGGGTCTACATGAGGACTGTCCCCGCTGCTGTGCTGACGCACCTCCCCCGGTCACGCCTCATCAGAACCCCCAGACAGTGGGGGAGGGCACCATGGATCAAAACCCAAACCCAGACCCTCAGCCCTTCTTGGGGCTGAATGTGGGGTGGGCCCAGCTCTCTTGTCTGAGCCACAGCAGGGAACCCAAAACTCAAACTCCAGCCCCTGGTAGGGCACATCCCTCCCCCAGGAACCCGCCCCCAGGACCCCTGCCCCAATACTCATCCCCCTGGTAACTACCCCTAAGACCCTCCCATCTCCCCCAGGCACTGGTCAGGGGATCCCACCCCCATAACTCCTCACCCAGGACCCCGCCCCCAGCACCGGAGACCAGGGCCCCAGACACAGCCCCGACTCCCTCACAGGTGCCTGTGGGGGCGGGAGTGCGGCCTGTGTCCATGTGTGCGTGTGTCCATGGACAAGTGTGTCCATGGGCGCGTGTGTCCCCGCACGAGTGTGTGTCATGCAGTCTGAGCCGAGTCTGTCCCTGCGCGTGTCTCCTGCGCACACACACTCCGCACGGCCGGAAGGACGCAGGGGCTCGCAGGCCCGGCTCCTCCGTCCAGGGGCCGCCCCGCGGCGCAGGTGCAGGAGGGGAAGGACGGGCCGCGGGGGGACCGCCCCGCCTCGGGCTCCGCTGGCCCCTGGCTCCCCGCCCGGCACAGCTGGGCCTGGCTGGGGTCCCTCACCCTGGGGCCCTCTGGCACCAGGACTAGGGGCGCTGCCCGGGCACAGGGGAGGGCCGGCCACCAGCTGGCCGCGGAGAGAGGAAGCTCAGGGCGGCCTTGGCCGCCAGCCCGGGGGCCGGGATCCCGCCCCAGCAGGCACTGGCCTGTTCCCCCCACCCCTGCGCCCCTCCTTGCCTTGGAGCAGGGGCGCAGGGACGGGTCCTGCCCCCAGGGGGCGCTGCGGGCCGCTCCTGAGCAGGGGGCGAGGGAGGGCAGGACTAGGGGTTCAAGCCCACAGCTGGGGGGGTCCAGCTCTCGGTCTGGGTTCCTCATTTGTGAAGTGGGAGATGAGCACCTCACACCCGGTGCTGGCCCACCCGAGGCCGGCGGTGAGCGCCCGTGCCCTTGCTGCCCCCCACCCATGTACCCCCCACCCATCCCCCAGCCACCCGCCACCCACCCAGCCGTCCCGTCCACACATCTCTCCGCACCCCCAGGGCGGAGACACTGTCGCATGCAGACGCAGCTCAGCAGACACAGCCCCCCAGCTCGGGGGAAGCCCCTGTCACCGGACTCCTGTGATGGCCTCACCTGACTGCCCCAGGCTCTCCAGCCCCAGCTTCTCGGAGGGCCCCTAGAATCCGCGTGGGGCTCTCCACTCCCCTTGCGCGTTTGGATCCCAGGCCAGGCCGACAAGCTTCTCCCTGGACACCTCCTCTCGGCCTGCGAGACCCTCCCCCAGCCCCGCCTCCCACTGGTGTCCCCTGGACCAGGCCCGCAGGTGTCTGCGCGCACTCGAGAAACGGGGAGTCGACAGGTCAGATGCTGACCACGAGCGTCTCCGGGTACCGGACGCCTCGAGTCAGCCAGTGTGGCGCTGGTTCCTGACGTTTCCAGCCTCGCGGGTGTGACTTCGTAACTGGGAAGAGAATGTTCCTATAGCGCGTTCGAGAGGAGAGTCGAATTCTGTGTCTCCCCGCGGCCAAAATTTCGCCTCCTCTGTCAACGCTTTGGTCCATTCGTCCGTTCGTCCAAGGCCCTTCATGCCCAGGGACCAGGGTATCGCTAGTGTCCAGGAGGAAAGGGACACTGGGGAGGAACCCCTCTTGGCTTCCAGAGACAGCCCCACCCCAGGGCGCGGCCCTGCGTCCGGTCTCGGCGCCGCGTGAGGCCAGGCAAGAGCAGACTCAGCCAGCAGGGGAGCGAGTTAGCGGCGCCTCGGGTCACCGGATGGGCTCCTGTTCACCGGCTCGCCAGCTAGTTAGCTCATTGGTTGACTCGTCAGCTGCTTAGTCAGCAAGTGAACCAGTTATTTGGCTAGTTCTCTTGTTAGCGTGGCAACCTACTAGTTAACTACCTGGCCAGTTAGGTGATTATCTGCTAGTTACTCGGCTAGTTAACTGGTTGGTTGTGGGTTCCTATGAGCTGATCACTCACGGGCAACTAGCACCTATTTGCTCGCTGCAAGTCCCAGCAGCATGTTCCTGATTGGCCATTACGGCCAATGCTGTGTCCCGAGGCGGGCCTCAGGGCCCGAGGAGCCTGGGGGCCCGGGCCACGGTGGATGTGGTGAGGAGACTGTCCCGCTCGCAGAGCTGCCACTGGGTCTCCAGCAGGGTGCCTGGCCAAAGCCGGGAGCAGGTGCTGGGCCAGAACAGCTCCCTCCCCGCTGACAGACCCTGAGCTGGGTCTGTCTCCCTGTCTGAGCTCCCAGTGGCCCCCCTCGAGGAGCCCCAGGAACTTGTGGCCATAGCTGCAGGACACCCCCTACTGGGCGAGCAGGGACGCGCGGCCCACACAGACCAGGGGGCCAAGGTGGCCTCGGGATAACTCTGCCCTGATGACATCAGCACACGCGCAAATGTCTCTTGACCTGTGGTCACGCCGTCCCCTGCTCTGTTCCTCGTAAAACATTGTCCCCGGTCCAATCCCACCCCCCGGATCTTACTCCTCATACCATAGTCGCGTGACCACTTTTACTAGCCTGTGGCCTCAGGAAATGCACAGGCGCTTGTGCTCAGGGGGCAGAGTCCGGCCCCGCACACCTGCTCCGTGACCGCCGAGCCCAGCCCCCGCCCCGCAGCCCACGGCGTTCCCACGGCCACAGCCAGTGGCCAGTTCACAGCCGGCGGCTGGTAACGGGCCGGTCACTCGTTAGCAGCTGGTTCGTTTGCCGCTTACGAGTCAGTCGGCTGGTTACCCGGCCAGGCGACCCGTGAGCTAGTGAGCCGCGAGTCAGTCAGCCCACCCGCGCCTCAGGGCACCCCCAAGCCCGGCCGGCCCCGGGACACGTGTCCTAGTGTAGACGGGGCCTCTGGCAGGTGGAGAGTGTCTCCTCCGGCCTGTGCTGGCGCCCTGGGGCACTTCGGGTCGGGAGTTAACGAGCTCCTGCCCAGGGAAATAGTTGGTTGGCAGTGCGCACCAGCACCCCTGAGCCTCGGGGCCGTCCCGCCCTCCCGGGGCCCAGCGTGCCCGCCCCTGCCCCAGGAGGCCTCCCGCCACCCCTGCCCCACTCCGGGCCCCCTGCTGGCTGGAGGCTAGTGCTGGGGGTCGCACTCACCCAAGGAGAGGGGTTCCGGGGAGAAGGCTGGAAATGCAGGCACCGGTGTCCCTCCAGCTGAGCTCAGGGTCCCGGTTCTGAGACCCGGGCCCGATCTGAGCGAAACAAGGGTGGAGGGACGCCCACTGGGAGACCGTGGCCCGTCCCGCTGAGGCTGTCATCCTGACCCGGGTGCACCCCCGCGGCCGGGTCGGGGCTGGGGCGGCGGGTGGCTTCACGGCCCAAGAGGTCAGCTGGGTGGTGCGTGTGGGCACAGCGGTGCCCGGGCCTCTCCCGGGCCCTCGGCCCAAGTGGGAGCTGCCCCCGGGCCTCTGGACGCAGATCTGGGCGAGCAGCCCCCCGGGGCCAGGCCAGGCACGGGGACCGAGGAATGAGCATGCTTGGGGTCCCCACCGGCCTCCCGCTGCTGCTGTATCTAGTGACCCCGCTGGAGGCGCTCTCTGTGGCCGCGGACACGTTCACGCTGGGGCTGCCCCCCATCTCCACCTGCTCACTTTCACCCACCGTTCAGCTGCGCCCCATGGGGCTTCCCTGAAACACACCCCACAACCCTCTCGTCAGGGCCAACCCCACTCAGCACCCAAAGTGTCCCCTTGAGGGCAGATGCCTGACGCCTGCCCCATGTCGGCCCCATTGGTGCCCTGGCTGAGCCTGGCTCTGCTTCCCGTGGCCAGGAGCCAGCAAGTGGGAGCCTCGCGAGTGTGCCCCGGGGAGTGGACGAGGGAAGAAGGACCGGGTCCCCGAGGCCCTGACGCCCTGAGAGCCTGGACACGCGCCTGCCCAGGTGGGGCCAGTGGACACTGGGGTGGGCCCGGGGCCTCCTTTGTTCCCGTGTCCTCGCTGAGGGTCGGTCCCAGGTGTGCATGGCCGATGCGGGACGGCCCTGGCACCCTCTCCTGCCTCGTCCTGTGGCTGGTTTCGGGGCTGCCCCCCTCCAGGGTTGCGCAGCCCACGATGGCCCCAGACCCAAGGACCAGCCTGGACACGCGGTTTGTGCTTTCATTTATTGGAGGGCTCTGGCTCGGGTGGGCACTCAGATCCCCAGGGCCACACCCATCACCAGACAGGCTGCGGCAGGTGCTTGACTCCATGCCTGGGAGCCGGGGGCACTAATGTGTTGTTGTCTTTACATTCAGTGTCGTGGGAGAGCTCGGGGTGGTCGGCTCCACCAGGGGGTAGTCCCACTTGAAGCCCATGCCCGTGAGGCCCAGGAGGCTGTACTGCCCAAAGATGCCGGTCAGCACCTTCCCGGGCTCGGCGGGGTTGGCGGCGAAGGTGCGGCCGTCCTCCTGCCCAAAGGAGACCCAGCGCCCGAAGTTGGTGTAGAAGACCAGGTAGCGGAAGAAGCTCTTGCTGGCGCCGTACACGGAGGTGACGTGCTCGCCCGGCCACAGAATGAACTCCTGGTTGATGACGTCCTTCTTGCCGCACATCTCGCTCCAGACGGAGCCTTGTCTCAGGGAGACCCTAGGGAGGGGAGCCGTGGGGGGACGTCCTGGGTGACCCCTGCCTGGTTGTCGCCCTCCCCCTCCAGGCACGCAGGGCAGCGGCCCATGCGCCGAGGGAGCCCGGGCCGCCCTGGGTGCTGAGATGGGAATGTTGCTCTGCCCGCAGGGACTCTGGGGTGTGGGCCTCTTCCCCAGCTTCTCTGGGCCTCGGTTTCCCTCTCTGTAATGGGGGGTGACCGTTGGGAACCAGCATGGAGCCCGCCCCTCAGCCCTTGTCAAGGCCCAGGGTGGGGAGCTGCCCTGGGGCCCGGGTCGCAGGCCTGAGCACAGGTGACCCCACGCTCACCTGGGCCCACTGGCTCCGCGGCCAGGGCTTCCGGGGCCTCCCCCACCTCGGTGCTGCCCCAGCCCCCCCACCCTCGCTGTGCCCTTGGGGCGCTGGCTGCTTGGCCCCATTCCCTCTCCCAGGTGCCGGGGACCCCAAAAGCACTGAGCACAATGCTGACCACAGCCCAGCTGTCTGCCTCTACTTTCGTCCCGCCTCTGTGGCCTGGGCCCACGCCACCCTCCCCCTGGTCCCGCGGCCGCGCTGGGGCTGGGCAGCGGCGAGTGGGGCTGGGCGGTGGCGAGTGGGGCTGGGCTTGTGGGAGAGGCAAGGGGATCACCCCTGCCCCGCGTGGGAGCAGCCCCAGAAGCCCCGGCGCCCTACGCACCCTTTAATGAGGCCGGCCAAGCCCATGGACACCCGGATGCCGGTGATATCGCTGTCGCTGCTCTGGGGCACCGAGCAGTAGGTGCCGCGCGCAGCCCCGTACATCTCTGGATGTGAAGATGGAGACAGGGGAACCCGGTGACGCGGGTCCTCAGATGGGGCCGTCCTGACCCCGAGGCCTCTGGGGTGGGGCCCACGCCCGGGTCTCAGGATTGGGGGTGGCCCAGCCCGACTCACGGTCAGCCCAGCAGGCGCCGCTCCACAGCAGGAGGCTCAGCCACAGCAGCATGGTGTCGCAGGCCCGGCAGCCCCTGGGGAGAGAGGGAGCTCGCAGGCGCCCAGCCAGGCCCCCCGCCGCCCCGCTCGAGCCCTACCTGGAAGCGGTCTGGTCGGCAGCCCTGCCCGAGTCCTGGGCGCTGCTCCCCGGAGCCCTTTATACCCTCCCGGGCCCTGTGGGCCCCCGGCCAGAAGGAAGAGCTGGGGTGGGGGCTGTCGCTGGGGGGGCTCCCCAGAGCATCCTGGGGCGGCTCCGGACGTGCCGTGTTTGCTGTTCTGGCCCCGCGGCCTACACAAACAGCCCGGAACAGTGACAGGCGCCCGCTGTCCCCTCCGGGTGTCTCAGCGCCTGGACTAACTCGGCTCAGAGGTGGGGGAGGGTCGTCCAGCTTGGCCCGGACCCCAGGGCAGGAGCAGGGCCCACGTCCGCAGGCGCCCCTGGGCCGGATCCTGCCGGCCGCAGCCCGGTGCCCAGCTGCCGCGTGGCCTCGGCGGGCCGGGGTCCGGCCAGGGTGCCAGGTACCCAGGTGCTGCCTCAGGCCTGTCCATGCCCTGCGACATGTGGCTAGGGGGGCCTGGTGGCTGCACCCCTGACCTGCCCAGCGCAGGACCCGGGATCGCACTTTACATTTTTAAGTGGCTGGAAACGATTCCAAAGGCAAATGCTGTTTGGTGACACATGCAAAGTCGTTCCGTGAGATTCGGGGCCATGCCCACGAGTGTGGCACCTCAGGCAGCCTCGCCCACCCTCGGGCCTCCGCGGCGAGGCCGGGCCAGGCTGTCCTGCAGAGGTGGCGTTCGCGGCCCCTCACCCGCAGCCACGGATTCCCTCCCGGCCACGGTGCTGCCCCGCCCGGGTGCTGGCGGCCGCGGGGCTCAGGGGGGACTGGGGGCTCCATTTAACACTCAGCCTTTACTGGGGAGCAGAACAGAGAGAGAGGAGTATGTCCGGAGCCGTCCCTTTCTCCGGCCTGCACTGGTCTCCCTGGACCAGCTCCTGAGGGCTCAGGCCCCACTGACTCACGTAGGAAGGTGAGGGCCCCCACCTGCCCCCCAAAGCTCCTCATCCTTCCCAGCGACCTTCAGGTCTGTGAATGCAGCGAGCGGCAGGGAGGCAGCGGCCCGCAGCCCATAGACAGGCAGCAGGGCCCGCCCTAGGCCGGGAAGCCCCTGAGACGGGGGCGGAACAGGCCAGATCTTGGCAAAGCGGCACCCGGGGAGGGACAAAGGGTCTGTGTTCCCATCCCAGCTTTTTTGAGCACTTTTTGGGGTCGATGCCAATTCAGCACCTTCTCTCCACCTCCAGGCTGGCAGGGTTGGGAGCCCGAGGGAGGCCCACCTGGTCACGGACTCCAGGAAGCGCCTTCTAGGCGGGGAGTGGGGGACGTGGGCTGAACTGGGGGGTGCGGGGCTCACACAGGCTCAGCAGGCGCGGGGTTCAGAGGAGCCTCAGCCTGGCAGTCGCCAGCTGCCCTGCACCCCCACCCACGGAGCTTGCACCCCCCCCACAGGCACACTGGTTCCGCCCTAGCTGCCAGGGAGACTCAACAGGCCCTTTGTCCCTGGGGATCAGGAGCCCCTCGCGGGGATTACCGGGCATAACTTGACAGGCCATAATCCCTCCGGCCCGCCCCGCGCTCAGCTGCCAGGCGCCGGAACAAAGGGGCTCTCTCCCCGCAGAGGCGGTCCTGGCGGGCGCTGCCGCCGCGCTGGGTCAGGTCCGGGCTGGCACGCGGGTCCCGCCCTCTGGCTGTGGGGTCGGAGGGAGCAGCCCACGCACAGCACAGGGGTCTCCGTCTGTCACTCGGGGCGGCGCGCGCTGCTGGCCCGGGCTGGAGCTGGGTGCCGGCTGGCGAGTGGGCTGGCAGGGCCGGCAGGGCCAGGACTCGGAGGGGCGCGGCAGGGGCGGGGCCTGCTGTCGCTGACCGAGTGTCCTCCTGGGCAGGCCCCGCCCCGGGCCCGCGGAGCCGGCCCTGACCCGCCGAGAGCAAGGGCCGCGGCTCGAGGGGCCCCCATGGCCTCACCCACCCCGCTCCGGGCCGCCCGGGTGCCCCCCGCGACAACCTCCGGTGGAACGTGAAGGGCGCCCGGGGCTGGCCTTCTCCCCGCCCCGACGGAGCTGCCAACTCCCGGCCCGTGCGGTCTCCTCTGCGCCCCTGCCGCCCCCACCCCGGCTCATGGGCCCTGTGGGGGGTGCGTCCTCCAGCTTCTCCCCACCTCTCCCTCGGACCCGTGGCTGCCCGACCACCGGGGTCCCATCAGCCCCAGGGCCGTCCCATCCCCTGGGGGACACTTCTGCAGTGGGACAGGCCTGGGTGTGGGAGCGGGTGGCCGCAGGGTCCAGCCTCATACCCTGCGGAACAACAGCCTCTGCGAGCTTGGCCACCGCAGGTGCTGGGCCACCCAGGAGGGCACGGCCGCGCGGCGGCTCTGGCATGGCTGCGGGAGGCCTGTGGAGGGTGCAGTGACCGGCGGAGGGCGAGCGGGCCCTGTGGGGGGACGGGCCTCCGCTGAGGGCTGGGGAGAGGGCGGTCAGCCAGGAAGGAGGCGCCTGCTGGGAAGAGGGGAGGGCATCTGACCTGGGGGTCAGAAGTGGCCAGTGTGGGGGTGACCAGAGATGTGAGGCGACCCGGGGGCATTCAAGAGAGGCCCACACTGGGCCCCAAAGAGGTCTGGGCATGGGGTTCCTGGCACCATTGGGCAGAGGGGTGGCTGGCAACCCCTCTGGCTACAGAGTCCCCAGACAAAGGGGGAGCAGAGCTGTACAGAGGGGCTGCTCAGAGGGGAGGGGCAGCCTGGGGTCAGTGCTTGCTGCCCCCCCTGCTGGGGTGCAGAACCCTCAGCCTCCTCCTGGGCTCACAGGAGAACAGGGGGTGGGGAGAGGCTTCAGGCGGCTGCCTTCTCCCAGAGCCCAGGCTGGGGGCACCGGGGAGGGGGGGAGATGGATCGGGACACCCCAGCCCCTAGCCCTGGGCTCCTGTGAGCCCAGGTATGCTTGAGCAGCTGGGGGCGCCCAGCCAGGCTGCTGCCCAGCCAAGAGTGGGAGTGCGGGCTCACCATGACAGTCCCTTGGAGGCCCCCCAGATCCCCACCGAATGCTCTCTCCCCCCATCTCCGGAACACCCCAGACCAGGACACCAAATACGAGGGGAAATCTGGGGCCCCAACCAGGAGTCCACCCCCTGGGCCAGCTCTGTGTGGCCTGGAGAGCCCTGAACGATGCCCGAGGGGCAGCGAGCACCCCACCAGCTCTGGGGACCTGCAGAGACGGCTCGTCAGGCGCCCTTCCAACAGTTGCTGCGCTGGCTCCCCGCGGAGGACCCCAGAAGTTCGTCCTGGGGCCACTCACTCCAACTCAGCCATGTCCCTGGCAGCGCGCCGGACACTCAGGGGCACCATGCGGGCCCGGCCTCCCAGAACCGCCTTCCCGACAGTCACCAGCCACAGGACAGCGGGTGGACGGCCGGGGCGCCCGCCGCCAGGACCCTGAGTAACGTGGAAGGCAGTTTCCACGGTCAGGATTGAACCCGGGCGCCGACGGGGCGGCTGGGGCGCCTGGGGCTGGAGGGGACGGGCGGGCAGCAGGCCCGGCCCTGGCGCGGGCCCAGACGGGACCAGGCAGCGCTGAGCTGGGCGCCCCTCCCGGCTCAGCCCGGCAGTGCGCGGCCCCGCGGCCCCTCGAGGACGGGCCTGTCCCGCCGGTGCCGGCCGCGCCGTCCCGGGCCCTTCCCGGCGGCAGGCGCGGGCGGCCGAGGCGCGCGGGGTCGGCCGGGAGCCGGGGCTGCGGGCCGGGGAGAGGCCCGGGAGGTCCTCGAGGCTGGGCTGGGGGCCCGAGCCCTGACCCCGCGGGCCGCGCCCCAGGGCCCCTCCCCGCAGGGGGCGCCGCGCGGCCGGGAGGCGCGGCCCCAGGGGGCGCCGGGGCGCAGAGGCGGCCATGGGCGCGCGCGTGGCGCTGGCGTGGCTGCTGCTGGCGCGGCTGTGGGGTGAGCGGGGCGGGGCGGGGCGGGGCGCGGGGCGGGCGGGCGGGAGGCGGGCGCTGACCGGGCCGCCCCGTCCCTCCCGCCCGCCCGCAGCGCTGCAGGACAAGGACATCCTGTTCGCAGGTAGGCGCCGCCCGCGGGCCCGGGCTCGGTCCGGTCTCGGTCCGGTCTCGGTCCGGGCGCGGCGCCGCCTCACGTCTCGCTCTCCCGCCAGGTCACGCGAACTCCTCGCTGCTCTCATGTAACGGCCGGGCCGGGCGGGCGGGCCCTGCGCCCCGGGGGGCGGGGAGGGGCCCCGGGCGGGGGGGGGGGGGGGGGGGGGCGGGGGGCCGGGCGCGGGGGGGGGGGCCCGGGCGCGGGGGGGGGCCCTGGGCGTGACCCCGCGCGTTCCCGGGCGCCCCGGGCGGGCCTCGGGGGCCGCGGCCGCAGGTGTCCTGTCCCCCAGGGCCCTGCGGCCAGCGCGCGCTCCCCACGCGCATCGTGGGCGGCCAGGCGGCGGAGCAGGGGCGCTGGCCGTGGCAGGGCAGCCTGCGGCTGTGGGGCTCGCACTTCTGCGGCGCCAGCCTGCTCAGCCACCGCTGGGCGCTGACCGCCGCGCACTGCTTCGACCAGTGAGTGTCCGGCGCCCCCCGCGCACGCGCCCGCGGGGACCGTTGGCCCCGGGCGCCCCGGGGAGGCCCGCTGAGCGCCTTCCAGAATATTCCCCCAACACCCCAGGCACGTTTGCACATGGGCTGGTTTCCTGCCCTGTCCCCTCCCCAGCAGGGAGCTCCAGCCCTCACCTCCCTCCTCCCGCCCCAGCGCAGCGTCCGTCCGGTGCAGGCAGCAGCAGGGGTGCCAGGTGCTGGCCCCGGCGGGGTTCCTGCCCCCAGGGAGCTGTGGGACCCCCCCCTGCTTTGGGGCCGGGCCTGGGTGGTTCTTTGCGGGCAGCTGGGAGCTGCCAGGCTGGCCGAGTGGCCACGGAGGGTCCCCGGGCCGGGCAGCCACCTTTGCCACCCAGGCCCCTGCGCCGGGGACGCAGTCTCGGCCTCTGGGCTCTCATGGTTTCTTCGGGGACTTGGGGGCCCCTAAGAAAGGCTCCAAGGGTGTCAGGGACCCTGATGGCACCCCGCAGGCCCACCCCAGGAGGGCGTGTGCCGGGCGGCCACCCAGACAGCTCTCCCCCGACCAGGAACAATGACCCCTTTGCATGGACGGTCCAGTTTGGGGAGCTGTCTGCCTTCCCGTCCATCTGGAACCTGCAGGCCTTCTATAACCGGTACCAGGTGCAGGACATCATTCTGAGCCCCCTGTACCTGGGGTCCGAGCCCTACGACATCGCCCTGCTGAAGCTGTCCTCCCCCGTCACCTACGACAAGTTCATCCAGCCCATCTGCGTCCTGGCCTCCTCCTCTGAGTTCCAGAACCGCAACGACTGCTGGGTGACCGGCTGGGGGGACGTCGCGGAGAATGAGAGTGAGGCTGGGCACAGGCGGGGGGAGAGGGGCCCCGCCAGGCCCTGTGCCTCCACCCGGCCCCCGCCTCCGCCCCCTGGTCTGTCTGTCGAGCTGGGCCCTCCTTCCGGGGCTCGGCCTTCTCTCGGCGGCCGCTCCCACACCACGCGCCCACGCAGCAGGCCTCCCTCCCGAGCCAGGCCTTCCAGACCCAGCGGGCGGCCTTACTCTCTAGCATGCCCGGGCCGGGGGAGAGGGGCCCGAAAGCTCCCCTGGCGGGAGCTCCCCCCAACCCCAAACGCGGCCCCGGGCTCCTCCAGACCACAGCACCTGCCCCTCTTACCTGCCCTCCTGGAGACTGAACCCCTTTCCCTGTCTTTGAGATGCATCTCCAGAGTCCTGGTGCCCCACGAGCCACCTGCACGTCCACCCAGACACCCCGGGCCAGCGCCCCGGGAGGCCCTGCCGGCCCCGGCCCGCCCCTCCTGTAACCACAGCGGCCGCAGCAGGAAGGGCTGTGTGCGCCCCTTCCTGGACCCCGGCCTCGGGGGGCCGGCGCGGTCTCTGTGCCTCTGCTCGTCCCTCTGGTGAGGCAGGGGCAGGGTAGTCCCTGCTTTACAGGGAGCCGAGGCAGGTGTGGAAATTGCCAAGGTCCCGGGGAGCGAAGGCAGAGCCTGAGTCCCACAGGGAGTGTGGCCCCAAGGTCCCCCTCTCAGTGGGCCAGTCTCAGCCTCGATCTGCCTCTCCCTGAAACTGGGGTCCTTGCTCTTCTCAAATGCCCCCCCATCCCCGGCTGGCGTCTGGCCGGCGCCCACTACTGTCACGGGCCTCAGTGTCTCCTGCGGCCCCCGGCCTGGTGTCCACCTCAGCTCTGCAGGACACGTCATCCACTGGGGCCTCAGTTCCCCCACCTGTCAAAGGGGCTGACCGTTGTCCCCACCACAGGGCTGGGCCGAGCCCTCTAGGCCTGCCCGCCCCGAGGCTCGGCAGTCTGCACGGCCCTCTCACCTCGTCTTTCCGTCTGTTGTTGCTGCCTCTGCAGGATATGAGGGGCCCAGACGTAGGAACTGGACAGGCCCGGGCCCCCTTGGGCTCGGCACCTCCCTGCTGCCTGGGTGGGGGGCAGTCAGGCCCCAGCTCTCTCCTTGCCTGAAAGCGGGTCCTGCCCAGCTCCTCCTTGGTGCTGAAGCAGCCCAAGTGCTCCCCACGCAGGTCCTGGGGTGCCCAGAGCTTCCAGGAGTGTCCCCCTGCCTGGACGGCCAGCGGTCCAGCCGACGGAGATGTGGCCACGGGGCGTGGTCATCAGGAACCAGCTCAGCGGCCCGCCACGTGGGACAGGAAACCGGGGGTCCAGGAGGGGCTGGGACACCCTGGCCTCCCGGGATCTGGCTGCTCACCCATAAGGGCAGTGCCAGGCTAGACCAGTGGCTCTCCGGGGGCGAGGCCCAGGGACCGGGGGTGCCCCGGCCGCCCTCCAGCCTCAGCCAACGAACTGACGGGGGAGACAGGCTAAGTGACGCTCTTCCTCTGCCCCCCAGTGCTGCCAGCGCCCTACAAGCTGCAGGAGGTGCAGGTGGGCATCATCAACACCTCCATGTGCAACCACCTGTACTCCCAGCCCTCCTTCCGCACGGACATCTGGGGGGACATGGTGTGCGCCGGCTACCCCCAAGGTGGCAAGGACTCCTGCTTCGTGAGTGCCCCTTCCCTCCCCAGCTCAGGCCCAGCAGCCCCCTCCTGGGCTGAGGGCAGGCGCCCCTCGGCCCCGGGAGCAGGGGCTGCTGTGTAGCGGCAGAAGCTGAGCTTGGTTCCCGGGGAGGGGGTGACTGCACCCCGCTGTGCAGCCCTCCGCCCTCCCACCCACTAACCCACACTGCTCCCCAGGGCGACTCTGGCGGACCCTTGACCTGCAAAAAGGACGGGCTGTGGGTTCAGGTTGGGGTCGTGAGCTGGGGCACGGGCTGCGGCCGACCCAACCGGCCCGGCGTCTACACCAACGTCAGCAAGCACTTCAACTGGATCCGCAAGCTGGTGGCCCGCAGCGGGGCACTCCGGCCAGGCCCCTGCCCGCCGCCGCCGCCGCTGCTGCTGCTGCTGCTGCTGCTCCCCCTACTCCGCGCCCCCCACCTCCTGCACCCCACCCCAACGCGGTGGGACCCCTGACCGAGCCCTTCACTTTGGCAGCCGCCCCGTCCTGCCCTGTCTGTAATAAATATGTCTGCACCTTGGAGTCGAGGCCTTCCAGAGCCTTCTGTGCCCGGGGGGCTCCTGGACGCCCCCTCACGCTCGCCCCACCCCGTGCACCCCAAGACCCACCCCGGGACCCTCAGTCTTATGTCCCAGCTGCGCCGCACAGGTGCAGAAGCCCCCACCCCCACCCCACGTCCTGCAGGAGCGGGGTCTGGCTGAGGGGTGGGGTCAAGCATGTCTGCCTGGCGGGGACGGGCCAGCGGCCTGTTTGGGCCCCAGCTGCTCGAGGACACCAAGTCTTCTCCTCGGAACGCCTTTCCTGGGGCGAGTGCGAGCCCGCCTTCAGCACGACCTGCGGCCTGGCCCCCGCGGGACCCTGCTCCCTGCCCTCCCGGAGCTGCTCTCCCTGCAGACCTGGCGCTTCAGACCTGCCCGAGGGCGCAGGGGGTCCTTGACCAGACATACCTGAGCAGCGGCTGCCCTGCCCCCGGGCCTGTGCAGATGGAGCCTCCCCGGGAGGGGTCACGGGTGCGCGGGGACGCCCCTCTCCCCCCACGCCGAGAGGAGGGTTGTGTGGCACCATTAGCCTCCTGCTGGAAGGGGCTGGGCTGCAGGACTGAAGCTTCTCGACTTTCCCCAGGCGCCCCCTCTGCGGGCAGCAGCCAGCGGGGGACCCAGAGTGGGGCAGGGGTGGCGGAAGGCCTCCTGGGGCTGGGGCTGGCGCTGGGCCTCGGGAGGGCGGGAGCGGCCCCAGGGCTCCAACTAGTTGGCTGAGCAGGAGCTCGTTAACTCCCGACTACCCACGAGAATCTACCGGGTGACCCGAAGTGCCCCAGGGCGCGAGCACAGGCCCGAGGAGACACTCTCCACCCGCCAGAGGCCCGTCTGCGCTGGGACACGTGTCCAGGCCGGCTGGGCTTGGGGGTGCCCTGAGGCGCGGGTGGGCTGACTGACTCGCGGCTCACTAGCTCACGGGTCGCCTGGCCGGGTAACCAGCCGACTACGCGTAAGCGGCAAACGAACCAGCTGCTAACGAGTGACCAGCCCGTCACCAGCGGCTGTGAGCGTGAGGGCCAGGCCGTCTCTGGAAGCCAGGAGGGGTTTCTCCCCAGCGTCCCTTGTTCTCCTGGACCTTAGAGATGCCCCTGGCCGGGAAGGGCCGTGGACGGCTGGGTGGGTGGTGGGTGGCTGGGGGATGGGTGGAGGGTGGGGGGTACATGGGTGGGGGGGCAGCAAGGGCACAGGCGCTCACCGCCGGCCTGGGGTGGGCCTGGCGCGGGGGTTCCCGGCGTGAGCATCTCCGCGCCAGCACCGGGTGTGAGGTGCTCATCTCCCACTTCACAAATGAGGAACCCAGACGGAGAGCTGGACCCCCCAGCTGTGGGCTTGAACCCCTAGTCCCGTCCTCCCTCCACCCCTGCTCAGGAGCGGCCTGCAGCGCTCCCTGGGGGCAGGACCCGTCCCTGCGCCCCTGCTGGGGCGGGGGCGTGTCCCTGCTCGCCCAGCAGGGGGTGTCCTGCAGCCGTGGCCTCCTCGTGGTGGCCCACGGCGAGCTCAGAGACGGGGAGACAGACGGGCCTGCCGGCGGGGAGGGGAGCCGGCCCAGCCCTGCTCCCCGCCTCAGCCTGGCTGGACCAGCGGCGGCTGCGGGGGCGGGATCCCAGCCCGGGGCTGGCGGCCGAGATCGCCCCGAGCTCCCTCTCTCCGCGGCCAGCTGGCGGCCAGCCCTCCCCGGTGCCCGGGCAGCGAGAGGGCGCTGCGGGGGCCAGGAACGAGGAAGCCCACACAGAAAAGGACAAGACGGCCGACACCAGGACCCTGATACCATCAAACCCACACTGAAGGCATAACCAGGAGAAAACAGCTCGGGCCACGAAAAACAGCTTTGTTGCCTAAACCTGTCCCCCCAGCCTGGTTTTCCTGCCTGACCTCTCCTCACCCTATGAAAGGGACATCTCGGGCCTCCCCGGGGCGCAGCGGTTGAGCGCTGGGTTGCCAAGCTGCCCGCAGCCTCTGCAGTGCCGGTTCGATCCCCGGCTGCTCCCCGGCCACGGGAGGAGGGTCCCACATGGCGCGCAGACCTCTCCTGCCGCCCGCTGCTCCCCTCAGCAGTGTATTTAATCAGTCTGCCTGCTCTGCTCCCCGCTCTGGCTCTGGTGAATTCTCTCACCCTCCCGCGCTTCTGACTGTGCCCAGTGCTTGTACAAATAAATAAATAAATAAAATAAGTAAATAAATAAATAAAAATAAATCTTAAAAAAAAACTAAATAAATAAAAGGGACATCTCCCCCCACAACGGGCCCGGCTTCACGGGCCCCCACCTTGGGTCCGGGAGGTCCGCCCGGGGTGCAATAAATTTCCCCTTCCTGTGAGAAATGTCGCCTGGCTCTCCTTGTCTTCACCGGACCCTTCATCTGGTGCCTTGGCCGGGAACAGGGTTCAATCCTGCATGGGGACCCTGCCCCGTCCCGAGCCCTCCGCTCTCCCTCTCGTTCACTCTCTCTCCCCGCCTCTCCCCGTGGAACTGGCGGCCGGGAGCCCCTCTTGTTAGGGGGAGAGGATGTCCTGCGCTGATCCCACGCAGACTTTGTGGACGCCACCCCCACTCCAGGCCAAAGCCATCAGGACATTGGGAAAGACAAATCCCGTCACCCCCAAAGGGAAGGTGGCTGGGACCTGAGGGTGGAGTTGGGCAGCCAGGTTGGGTATAAAAACCAGACAGGTGGGCCTTGGGCTGGCTACTGCTCGCCTCCTGGCTTCACGGCTCCTGGCTCGCGGCCAGCTCTCAGGGCGCCATCTGGGATTCCTGATCGGCGGATCGGGTAGGACGCATTTAAAACTTTGTCTCCCACTTTTCTCCCTGAGCTGTCCATTTCCTCATTTCCCTTCCCTTGTGAATAAACCTTTTATGAACCTTTCGCGTGCGCCTGCAGTGGAGCATGGATAAGTCCTTTTGAGCGCGCGGGTGAGGACCCACAGTCAGGAACCCTGTTTTGTTTCGGGGCTGCCCTATAACGCTCTGAGCTCACGAAGGCTGAACCGGTGTGCCACCCGGGCGCCCTCCCAGCAGGAGACGGGGCCTCGCTGCTAGCGGGCCCCGGGAGCAGAGCAGGGACTTGCTCTCGTCCCGCATCGGGCTGCCCTGGGAGCTCCAGGCCACGGGGCCACCTCCGCCTCAACAACTCCTCCTCCCTCGTGGAGGGCCACCCTCCTGCCCCTGGTGGCCCGCCTGCTCGTCCCGGGGCACTTCGCCAAATAATCGTGAAGAACGAAAAGACTCGGCGGCCTGTGGACCCCCAGGCTGGGCTCTTGACTCTCCCGGGTGAGTTCTTGCCTCTAGGGTCCCTCGGATCACGAAGGTCTCTGCTTTTTATTCAGCGATCGCTATCCCCTCCTGACCCGCGCTCTCCATTTGGGGCTCCCTCTGAGGTGAGGCGTCTCCTCAGGGGAACGGAGGTAAAGAGGACACGGGACGCCGCCTTCCCCTTCACTCTCCCACTCAACTTCCTGAGGATCGGGCCGGGACACTGGGACGTAGGCCTTCCCCGACCCTCCATTTGGGACCCTAAGAGGGACACTCACTATGGGATCAACACCATCCCGCATTCTGGCACACACGCCCTTGGGTGCCTCCTGAAGGCGCTTGGCCCTCGACATGTAAAGCCGGATGTGAGACCTAAGCGCCTCATTTTTTATTGCACCAGGGCCTGGCCCAAATAGGAACTGGACAGCGGCTCTAGGTGGCCGGAAATGGGCCCTTTTGACCCCCAAATTCTAACCAACTTAGACAACCTTTGCCATAGGCAGAAAAAGTGGCCCCAACTCCCTGAGGGCCAGGCCGTCTTTCTCCTGCGCTCCGGCCCTCCCCTCCCTCCTGAAAACCTGGCGCACTTCCAAAGTCTGGAGCCTCCTCTCACTCTCGCCCTCTCCGGACCCCTCTTCTGCCTTCTGATCCTCTAAATTCTCCATCTTCTCCTCCTCCAGCTCCCCAGTCCAGCCCCTCCCCGCCTTTCTTTCCACCTCCCAGCCGCCACCCCACTCCCCTCTTCCGCGCCCCCAGGGGAGTGGGTGGGACGGAAGAGCAGGCGGAGTCCGCAGGCCTCTCCCGCTGATGAAAAGCGTCTGGCTCTTTCCCTCACGACCCCAGCACCCAGACCAAAGAATGTCGTGATCTTGCCCAAGCCTGTGACCTGACGCGCCATGACTCACTTGGCGTCCTCTCCTCCACCCCGACTCTAGTAAAAGGGAACGTGTTTTTGAGTCTGCTCGAGGCCACGCAGATCAGGTCCCTGACACAACCATGCCCCCGGCCCCGAAGCAGCTCCCCGGGGAGCCTGGCTGGGAATTCCAGACTGACACTGACGCGGCTCACTGAGACCGTTTTCTTACCTGTCCCCGAGCTGGTCTCCAGGCGGCAGCGCGTGAACTATAAACTTTGATGCGCTCCGGAGCATCACCCAGTCGGCCCGGAAAACCCTCCTGCCCTCCTTAGCCGCCTGACGGGGGCGCTCCAGCGCCACACCAGGCTGGACCCTGACTCGCCTGCAGGCGCCACAGTAGCCATTTTATATCCGTCAGCCCCAGACATCGGAAAACAGCTCAGGCAGGCTGAGGACGGTGCTCACACCCCTCCCCGGGAGCTGCTGAAGACGGCCTCACGGTAGTAACAAGCGGGAGGAACGGGACAGGGCAGAGAGGGAACTCCGCAGTCGCCGGAAGGCCGAGCTTCAAGCTCGGGCCCTTGTAGCTGCCTTGAGACCGCCAGGCCCTGCTCCTCCCACGACCGCAGCGCCTGCCGCCCGACAGACGACGACCCTGGGTCCCATGGGCCCCCGCCGACCGCCGCCGGGAGCCGGCTTCAAGGGTGGCCTGGAGGGCCACTGGGCCAAACATTGCCCCAAGCCCCGCCCTCCGCCAGGCCCGTCTGGGGTCACTGGAAAAGTGACTGTCCCTGCACGCCTGGCCGTGGCGGGCCAGTCCTCCCAGCCCCCGCAACCCTGCCGCCGGCGGTCTTGGGTTTGGCGGCTGAGGACTGAAGAGGCCGGACTCGTCGACCCCGATAACCTTCGAGGAGCCCAGGGTGACGGTCAAGGTAGCAGGTGAGCCCATCTCCTTTCTGGTTGACACGGGGCCATCTTCTCTGTCCTCCCTCCTGTTCCGGGCAAGTTCATCCTTCTCAGGCCTCGGTCACGGGCGCCGGCGGCCTTCCTTCTCAGCCCAGACCGCTGGTCTGCTCTTTCCTAGTCCTGCCTTCTTGCCCCACGCCACTCCTGGGCCGCGACCTCCTGACCAAACTCGGGGCTACTCCCTCATGGTTCCAAGACCCTAGCGCTGCTCTCATCCTCCCGCTGCTCCAGACATCTCCTAACCCTCCTCAGGATTCCCCGCCGTCTCCTTCCACTGTCGCCCCCCGTGGCCTGGCCTACCTCCACCCTGGTTGGGGCCACTCACCAGCCCCTACAGAGTGGTCATGGACAGCCCAGGGCACCCAGACCAATTCTATATACAGCCTCCCGGCTCACTCGAGTCCCTTCCCAGGCCCCTTGGTTAGAAGTTGCAGGACAACCTCCTTCTGCTTTACAACCTCAGCTGCAACCTCTCAAATCGGAATGAAAGTTATTGCAAAGACAAAGACTTCTCCAAACCCCCCGATCCCACAAAAACTCAAGGCACCTGCCTTTCATCCGCTGATGATAAAGAACAACCACCGCCATAGGCCTGGGCACCCTGGGGGCCCCCCTGTGTCCTCCTCTACCGGCCTCCCAGGAATCCCACCTGAGCGAGCCCCGTCTACTTGCCCCACCTGGATCTGAGTCTCAGCTGTCCCCTGCCAGTCCTGACTCTCCAGAGCCACCGGTTCTGACGCCCCAGGTGGTAAAACGTGTGGGCTGCAAGGAGCAGCCGGAGAGGCTCTCGAGCTCCCCTTAAGAAAGACTCGGGGACCAGTGGATTAGAATCCAAGCGGGACTCTCCGAGGTGGACAGAGGTTATTCACGGACCAGCCCTCCCCCACCACGGACCTGCTCAGCTGGAAAATCCGCACGTCGTCCTACTCCAGGAAGCCCCAGGCCATGATCCATCCCAGTCCCGCAGCGAGCACGCCTGGGGTCCAGCGTCCCCTGGAAACTTCTGCGGCTTGGGAGTCTCGCACAGTGTCAGCCCAGCTGGAATTCCCCCTTTTAAAAATCCTCTCCAGACGGGGAGCCCACCCCACCTCCACCCCCGATTCAAACCCTGCAGGGTGACCTTAGCCTAATGGAAACATTAATATCGCCCAGCAGATGCAGGCTGTGGACACCGATCTCTGCCGGTTACATCCCCGGGCAGGGGACGGAAAGCCGCAGGGGCTGCCCACCTCACATCTGTGTTTCTCGTCCTTGTGCAGATGGCGGTGAATCCCTCCTGACGCCAGGGTTCTGCTAAGTCTGGTAAATGCAAGTGAGGTGAGGTATGTGTGTGTTTCAAAAAGCAATGTATTGACGATGGGTATTCCGAAGGGCCTTGGGATAACTAAAGCAGGCTGGGGAAATGGACTGGTATTAGAAGGGGAGAAAGCAAAAGAAAGTGTTGACGGTCTGAGAGAGATTTTGGTGAGAAATCGTGTGTACTCAGGTGTCTCCCCCTCCTCCAGCACGTGCATGGGCTTGCTCACCTGACCCGCGAAACCCCCTCTGACCAACTTCGTCAGCCCAAGCTGGGGCCAGCATTCCCAGACCTGGGCCAGCTCTCCCTACTGCCGCGGATCCTGCCCCTAGCAGGCCCGGCGATCATGATCATGCTTTTCTTTGTTTCTACACCCTGTTTTCTCCGCTTCATCCAGGCAAAGCTCTCTGAGATGAGCCTCAGCTCTCCCAGACCCGGGAAAGCCATTCCTGTTATTGACAGATGAGCAGCAGGGCCGTGTGGACACGCAGTGTGTATGCGCGCTGGGGCCCACTCGGGTTCGCATCACTGCGGCGCTGGTCCAGGTTCCACTCAGCCTCCAGAGCAGAGGCCCTCTGGCTCTCCCTCCTCTGTTTCTAATCCCATCTCTTCAAGCCACGTCCCGTTCTTCTGTCTGTGCCTGGCAATTCCAGATCAGCGCGGCCTCGGGCAAGGTATTACCCCTCTCAGGGCCTCTGATCCTAATCTTATTTTTTCTTTTTTTTTTTTTCTTTTTTTTTTATTTATTTATTTATACAAGCACTGGGTACAGTCAGAAGCGCGGGAGGGTGAGAGAATTCACCAGAGCCAGAGCGGGGAGCAGAGCAGGCAGAAGGACCGAAGTACACTGCTGAGGGGAGCAGCGGGCGACAGGAGAGGTCTGCGCGCCATGTGGGACCCTCCTCCGGTGGCCGGGGAGCACCCGGGGATTGAACCGGCGCCGCAGAGGCTGCGGGCAACTTCGCAACCCAGCGCTCAACTGCTGTGCCACCAGGGAGGCCCTTATTTTTTCTTTTTGCCCTGTGCCTACTCCGTTTCATCCAACACCTCACCTCCCCTCACCCTATAAAAGGGACATCCCCCCCCACAATGGGCACGGCTTCACGGACCCCCACCTTGGGTCCATGAGGTCCGCCCGGGGCGCAATACATTTTCCCTTCCTTTGAGAAATGTTGCCTGGCTCTCCTTGTCTTCACCGCGCCGGACCTTACAGCAGCGCCCCTAGTCCCGGTGCCAGAGGGTCCCAGGGCGAGGGGCCCCAGCCAGGCCGCCAGCTGTGCCAGGACGGGAAGCCAGGAGCCAGAGGACCGTTGAAGCGGGGCAGTCCCGCCCGCGCTGCCTCGTCCTTCCTCTCCTGCACCTGCACCGTGGGCGCCGCGAGGGCCTCCTGAGGTGGAACAGCCAGAGCTCTCTGGGCTGTGACCTGGCACGCAGCAGTGTTTCTTTGACAACAGGAGATTCTGTAAAGTGCAAAACGCTCTCCACAGCTAGAACAGGGTCTGGGCAGGCGCACCAGTGGAGCAGGCATGAAGGGCGACAGAGCTCATCCCTCAGACAGCGGCGACAGTCCCCGTCGCCCAAGGCCTTGCAGAGTCTTTTTTGTTTATGTATTTTGCGCACAAGAGCTGAGGTGTAGGGCCTCCCTGGTGGCGCAAGGGGTTAAGCACCACACTATGAAGCAATCCCCAGCCAAGGAGCAACCCACATGGCGCGGCAGACCTCTCCTGACCCGCCCGCTGCTCCCCTCAGCAGTTTGCTTAGGTCAGTCTGCCTGTTCTGTTCCCCACTCTGTCTCTGGTGAATCCTCTCACCCCCCGCATCTCTGGCCTGTACCCCAGCTCTTGTATGCATAAATAAATAAATCTTATTAAAAAAAAAAAGAAGAGCTGAGGTGCAGACTGAGGTGTGGGAGGGTGAGAGGATCCACCAGAGACAGAGTGGGGAGCAGAGCAGGCAGACTCACTGAAGTACACTGCTGAGGGGAGCAGCAGAGAGACAGGAGAGGTCTGCTGTGCCCTGGGGGTCACTCCCTGGCAGGGATCAAACTCAGGCCGCGGTGGTGAAAACCTGAGACTGGCCCCCAGGGAGGCCCCTGAGTCTGCCCGCTCAAGCACATCCACTTTAGCCTCTTGGCAGTAAAATGGCTGCCGAGCGGCAGGTCTTACACGCAGAGCAGAAGGAAGGAGATGGGCTGGCGGGGCAGGGGATGCGGCCTTCGATCAGGAACAAGCCGAGTCCCCGAGGCTACAGATGCAGCACAGTGAAGCCGCCTGTGTTCACGGCCACGGCAAAGCCGAGCCAGCTACCCAGGATGAGCGGAGCCAGGCCGGTGTCGGGAGAGGCCGCAGGGCAAGGAGAATCGGTCCGCGTGCAGTGGCAGGAAGGACACAGGGCAGGATCTCTATGCTCTGTGCAGACGGGGGACGGCGGAGTCCTGGAGCCCTCGGGGGCTTTGCCGGCTTTTATGGGGATTTACCAGGCACACGGCAGGCAGGGGTGCGGGGGGTGGGGGGGCCCGGGAGGCAGGCAGCCCCCAGCAAGTCCTCGCTCTGTCTGGGCTCTCCGGCCTTCTCTGCTGGTCTCTGCTGCGCTTTCGCTCTCCTTCGCTCTGACTCTCCGCTCTCCGCTTCTCGTGGTTCTGCTGGCATCTGTGACGCCGCCCTTAGAAGCCCAGTCTCTCAGCCCAGGTGAATCCATCTACACGTGCCCACACCCCGGGGCCGCCACCCGGCGTGCGTTCAGGACCGCAAGGATCCCTCATCCATCCTAAGGGCAGAAAAGCCTGATATCTTTTTCTCTTCCCCTGCACCGCGCCTCCAACGCCGTGCTGTGGCCAGGACGCACGCCCACCTCAGAACCCCGGCGCCGCACCGGCGGGGCCCGGGCCTGGGAGCCGCAGTAGCCAGGCAGGGGCGACCTCAGCCGCAGCCCAGCGGGTGTGACAGGTCCTGCTGCAGAGGGAGCTGCCAGCTGCCTGCGGCTCGCCAGACCACAGTGACACGGAGCAGCGCCAGGGCCGGGTGGCAGCAAAGGGGACCGTTCCCAGCCTGTGGGCCTGACCAGCCTGGCCCTCGCCCGGCACGTTCACGGTCAGCAAGGCCTGGAAGGGAGGCTGGCAGAGGCTACAGGAGACATTTGGGCCTCGGGGAGGGAACGGCCATGGCCCCAGAAGCCAGAGGCACAGCAGGGTGGGGAACCCTTCATGGGCATGGGGCGGCCTGGTGGCACTCCTGCTGGTCCCGCCCTCGCCCCTTCTGGTGCAGTTCTATGGCCACAAAGACGGGACCTACAAAGGCACAGACACCCCTACAAAGGCACCTCCGGGACACACCCGGTTCCTGAAGAAGGGGTCTGAAGCCAGCTTAAGGCAAGAGAAGGAAACGCTGTTACCACCCACACAAACCGAAAACGGGGCCTCCCTGGTCGCGCAGGGGTTAGTCTCAGTGCTATGAAGCTGTCCGCAGCCTCTGCAGCCCGAGTTCGATCCCTGGCCAGGGAGGTGACCGGCATGACGCAGCAGACCTCTCCTGTCTCCCCGCTGCTCCCCTCAGCAGTGGATTTCAGTCAGTCAGCCTGCTCTGCTCCCCACTCTGTCTCTGGTGGATCCTCTCACCCCCCGCAACTCTGGCCTGCACCCCGGCTCTTGTATGCATAAATAAATAAATCTTTTGAAAAATATCTGAAAAGAAAACAAAGAGACAAAGGCACAGTCAGCAGGCCGGGCAGAGGCGCTGGGGGAGACCCCGCCGGCAGGAGCGCGGCCTCAGCGGCAGGCGGCTCCGGGCAGCCACAACTGTAACAGGGTGGTCCCCAGGAAAGGGGGAAGTTCCAGGTTCCCTGCCCCACCCAAGGGAGGGTGGACCTGAGCAGGAAGAGGAGAAGCTGCAGAAGAGACTGAGGAAGGAAGCAGGATGGAGCCAGGAGACCTGGAGGAGGCGCGTGGAGCCTAGAGACACGTGAAGAAACTGCGCTTGTCTTTTGGTCGTGGACGGGGTGACACAGACGTGGGTGAGACCCGTGGGGAGGTGACCATGGCAGCTTTTATCTGGATGTTGATTTTGCTCTTTTCCTTCCGGGCTTGTCCGGTTGTTTGTGACCCTTCTCTGTGGGTCCCCACTGGAAGGTGCTTTAGACTTGTGGTAGACTTTGGGGCCTTGCTCTGGGCCAGTCCCATTTGGATGGACTTTTACCCACGAGGGGACGGGGCACTTTGGGTGCTTCGTTTAGAAACTAGATTCTTTGCCTTTCCTGTATTGTTTCCTAGTTTTATTAAAGTTCTTTCCCCTTAAAGTGTCCTATTGAGACAGGGCAAGCTAGGGTTATTAGGCAGTTTTAGGGACAGTGCAGGAGGGGACCTTTGAAGAATTTAGGGAGGCTTCAGAGATAAGGACAACCAAAGAAATATAACCAATTCCATTGGGAAAAACAAACATGCCAGGACCAAGGACAACATTGTTAATGCTGGTCCTGGTTTCCTTCAGGTGGTAAAGGGAGGCGGAGATTGGAGAAATGGAGAGTGGTTTAATTTATGGTCCCATTAGAAGGGCAGCTGTTTAACTTCAATGCAGGGAGGCCCATCCAGAGGACTGGGCCATAAATTTAAAGATGCAACAAATGGGAAAAGAGAAAGCTGTTAGATAAGGAATGTGAAGATCCCCACTCAGCAAATTAAGTGAGACAGCCGAGAACTGACCAATCACAGAGACTGGTGAAGTTTTAGAATAATGAGGGAAAAAAAGATATATATTCCCTGAAACACAATTCCACTTTGGCTTCCTTGCCCCTCCCAGGCCTGGTTCCCTGGCCTGGGAGTCCCACTTTATTTCTGTTCTTTTTCTCCTCAATAAACTTTTTCTTTTTCTAAACAAACTGCCTCTTCTCGCTTGCTTGCCTGAGCGTCTGCGAAGTTCCTGCTGCGGCTTCGTGAGACACCAACCCTGGGGGGTCTAGCGGCTGGGGCTCAGCACTGCCCTGCAGCCTGGAATCCGTTCCTGGCTGGGAGACTAGGCCTGACAATTCCGGTATCACTATGTTTTGTGTTGATGCGGCGGATGGCAGAACCCATTTAGAATAGGCAGGTTTGCGGGGTTTGGGCTGCCCCTCTCCCTGTCCTATAACAGATTAGCCCAAGACAGTTTTCCAACAGCAAATCGACATATGAAACAAACACACTAGAGAAACCAAAAATCACATTTGCGCTTATGGTAGCCAGTGCCATAGGGAAGCCCAATTTCCCCATGGGGCTGACTAACCACGGATGGCTCTGTCCTAAATCACGTTGGACGCCAAATCTGTTATAGGACAGGGAGAGGGGCAGCCCAAACCCCGCAAACCTGCCTATTCTAAATGGGTTCTGCCATCCGCCGCATCAACAGAAAACATAGGAGACTTTAAGGGGAAGGAACTTTAATAAAACTAGGAAACAATACAGGTAAGGCAAAGAGTCTAGTTTCTAGATGAAGCACCCAAAGTGACCCGTCCCCTCGTGGGTAAAAGTCCATCCAAATGGGACTGGCCCAGAGCAAGGCCCCAAGGCCTGCCACGAGTCTAAAGCATCTTCCAGTGGGGACCCACAGAAAAGGGCCAGAAACAACCAGACAAGCCCGGAAGGAAAAGAGCAAAATCAACATTAAGATAAAGGCTGCCATGGTCACCTCCCCACGGGTCTCACCCACATCTGTGTCACCCCGTCCACGACCAAAAGACAAGCGCAGTTTCTTCACGTGTCTCTAGGCTCCATGCGCCTCCTCCAGGGCTCCTGGCTCCATCCTGCTTCCTTCCTTCCTCAGTCTCTTCTGCAGCTTCTCCTCTTCCTGCTCAGCTCCACCCTCCCTTGGGTGGGGCAGGGAACCTGGAACTTCCCCCTTTCCTGGGACCACCCTGTTACACAACCACGCTTGCAGCGTTAGGAAACAGGAGCGGGACACAGGGACAGTGTGGGACCTGCGCTGGAACCCAAGGGCTGCGCTCTGCACCAGCACACCTGCCGCCTCGCTGCCCCCCGGGATTCGGGAGCCCCAGGAGGGAGTGGGGGCGCTGAGATGGCTGAGCAGCTCGGGGATCAAAGGGCCTCAAGTCAGGACGGAGCCTGGCTTGGGTGACCTTGACTGAGCTTGGGTGACCCGGGTGACCTTGACTCCGCAAATGGGACTGTCACCCCGCACCCCGAGAGCGCCTCTGTGGGCAGCAGGGAACCCCAGGAAGCCCGGCGGCCAGGGCTCACCTCGGACGTGGGTGAGGGCGTGGAGCCGGTGGCGGCCGGGTCCTGAGCAGGCAGCGGGGCTGCGGGCCCGCCAGGGCAGCGGCCAGTGTGGTGGCCCCGGGCAGGGGCTGTACGGGGGGGCCCTAGCGGAAATGGGGGGGCGCGGGCCGGGGGCGCTTTTCCCGAGCCGCAGAGCCTGGGATTTGGCGATGACAAGGCAGGCCCTGGGGCCTTGGGCCCGAGTGCGGGGCGCTTCCGAGGCACAACGGGGCCTGAGGCGGTGGCAGGGGAAGGTCCCTTCCCCCCCAGGAAACCAGGCTCAGGAGGCTGCGGCTGAGTCCGGCCGGACTCGCAGCCACAGGGCGGGCCCGTCGCCCCCGGGAGCCTGTGCCAGGCGGCGAGCGCGAGCTCAGGCGCAAATAAGGGATTTCGAGGCAGGCGTTTCCTTTCACGCCTGCTGCTCAGCATCATCCTCTGGCCGCGCCGCTAAATGACATGCCCCAGACACAGCAGCGGGTGAGCACCCCAGCTCACGGGCGAGCACCCCCAGCTCACAGGCAAGCACTCCCAGTTCACAGGCCGAGGACCCCCAGCTCATGGGCCGAGGACCCCCAGCTCACGGGCAAGCACCCCAGCTCACGGGCCGAGCACCCCCAGCTCACGGCGTAGGGGGTCCGCTGCACGGGGGCCGCACAGGCAGCTCAGCCGAGCCAGAGGCCGCAGGGCAGCCCGTCGGGGCAGCCCGAGAGCGAGGCCGGGAGGGGGAGGGGAGAAGAGGCCACGGGAGCCGTCAGCCTGGGACGCGGACCCGGCGTCCGCACCCGAGAGGCCCGAACAACACGTTCCATCCGAACCCACACATCTTCCGGGACCCTCCCACCTCCGCCTCCACCGCCCACCCGCCTGACCCGGGGCCGCTGCCAGGAGGCTGCCAGGAGGCTGCCAGGAGGCTGGAAGGCGCAGGAGGGAGGGGAATAGAGTCGGGGGTTAAGCCACCCCAAGGAGCCGGACCGGGGGGCTGCACGAGGCTCGGAGTCTTTCTGAGGGTTGGAGTTTGAGGAAGAGCCGAGGCCAGACCTCCAGGCTCCTGAGGAGAGAGCGCTGACCCCGTGTGGCCGGCGCTGGCCAGGGCAGTAAGGGCTCCGCAGGGCCGCCGGGGGAGCAGAGACATCCGCCTGGAGCCTGGGAGGAGGCTGCTGGCCTCTCCCCAGGGTGCTCCGGACTTGACTCAGGGGACTGGCCCCAGTGCTGCTGTCCCTGACCACCAGGGGGCCGCCACCCAGATGGTTCCCAGGGGACGTCTTCCAACCCCACCCCCTCAACCCCCCCCCCCACCCCGCCTCCGACCCAGGAGCAAAGGGGCATCTCTAGGATCCTGAGGGAGCTGACACAGCACCGCCCCCAGCACCCCCACCCTAACTGGGCAGGGGCCGCTGGGCATCCTGTCCCACTGCAGACCCACGTGCCTGCTCCCCTCCAGGGCCAGCAACCCCTCAGGCTCCTCCAGGAGGGCAGGAGGCTCCCGCGGGCCCTGCTCCAGCAGGCCACTCACAACCTCTGGGGCGCCCGCGAGCCGGCGCAGGATCGCCCCTGCCGGGAAGCCCCAGATGGTTTAGGAGCCCACCCCAGGGGGGTCCTCTGTGTCCTGAAGGCAGGAAACTGAGGGACAGAGCTCAAGGTAAGAAGGGCAGGACAGAAAGCGAGACAGGACAGGGACAATGCTCAGGGACAGAAGCAGGATGCAGCAGACCAGGGACAGCACGGGGGCCGGAGGGGGCCAGAGGGCACAGAGGAGGGGCGCGCATCAGAGTAGTGGGGACAGGTGGAGGTGGGTCAGGAAGGTCAGGCTGCGCTCGGCATCTGCATGACCCCTGCTACAGGCCACATCTCTGCTGGGCAGGAGGCCGGTCAGTGGCTCTTGTGACCAGGGGTCACCAGGGTCCTCAGAGCCTGAGCTCCCAACTGTGCTCCCAACAAGGAACCCAGGTCCAGAGCAGCCCTCAGCCCCTCACCCCACAGGCCTGACACTCAGCTGTGAGCAGAGGGGTCGGGCCCCCTGCTCCCCAACCCTGGCCAGTGGTCCCCCGGGGCTGGAGCCACCGCTGCTGCAGGAAGCACTTCCGGGTCCGAGGCTCACCCAAGCAGCCCCACGGCAGCCCTGGGCGGGCAGCGTCGCTGCCCCCACCCCGCAGCGGGCAGACGGTGGGCCCGCCGGCCCTGGGCAGCAGCGAGGGCTGGCTAGGAGAGCCGGCTGCGGGAGAGCGGGCCCCGGGGCCCAGCTCACCCCACGCACCCCAGCCCCCGTGGGCGCAGGCAGGTGACTCAAGCAGGTGCCTGACCGGCTGGGCCCACAGACCTGCTGTCTCATTGTTTTGCTCCCTCCTGCGAGGGAGGATTCACAGGGTCATGAGTGAGTCACCGAATCCGCCGCGGGGTGTGGAGGCCCAGGGCGCGCTGCCCACACCGGGGAGCCCCTCCCCGACCCGCAGCCCACGGTGTTCCGGCGCCCACGGCCAGTGGCCGGTTCACAGCCCGCCGCTGGTCACAGGCGCCCGCTCTGGCGCCGCCTCTCAGGCCAGCCTGCTCAGGAGCCCCACAGGCCCCTGGGGCCCAGGGGACCCTGCAGCTCCCCCCTGAAGCGTGTTAGAACTGGGTGCCCGCGCCACTCGGCCGCCCTGCAGAGGTCAAGGGTCGCGGCCCAGCCGCAGGTGGACAGAGACGGAGCCCCTGGCCAGGTCACTTCCTCATCCCCACCTGCGCCCATTTTAGCACCCACCGGACAGGGCTCCGGGGAGAGATCAGGAGCTGGGGAATAAATAATTTATTGAAATCGGGGGAATAAATAAGATCGTGGGGGGGGTAACAGAACTATAAAAATCGGGAACAAGTATATACAGGCAGGGGGCGGAGCCTGACCCGGGGCGGGGCTTCCGACAGGGGCGCGTCTTCCCGGTAGGGGCGGGGCCTCTCCCGGGGTGGGGCGGGGCTTCGAATAGGGGCGGGGCTATCATCAGGGGCGGGGCCTGTACGGGGCGGTGCTTCCGGCAGGGGCGGAGCCTCGCGCAGGGGCGCGTCTTCCCGGTAGGAGCGCGTCTTCCCGGTAGGGGCGGGGCCTCGCCCGGGGCGGGGCGGGGCTTCCCGGCAGGGGCGGTCCCGCGCCGGCTCGCGGGCGCCCCCAGAGGTAGACGGCGTATTTACAAGGCAGGCGCCGCGCGCGTCAGCGGGGCGGGAGCGGGCGCCGGCTCCGCGCACCCCCGAGGCGGGCGACCCCGGCCGCGCGCGGCGCCCCCTCCGCGCGGGCCCGGCCCCCGGCGTGCCCGGCGTCCCCGGAGCGGCCGCGGAGCTGCACCCCTTGCACGATCCTCTGCACCCAGGAGCGGTGGGCGGTCAGGCTGATGTAGACGCCCGGGCGGTTGCGCTGCGCGCAGCCCTCGCCCCAGCTGATGATGCCCGCCAGCAGCCAGGTGTCCTCCACCTGGCACATGAGGGGCCCCCCGGAGTCGCCCTGTGAGAGGAGGGGGGTTAGGAACGCCCGTGGGGCACAGGGTGGCCTAAGAGTCCCTCCTAGTCCTGGAGGCTGCGCCACTCCAACTCCACCCTGGAGGCCTGCAGCAGCCTTCGGGATCTCTGGGAGAGCAGCCCCCCTCTCTGAGCCGGAGAGCACCCCTTGCTCTATGGAGGAGGATGCTCAGGCTGAGAAGCCACTTGCCAGGGCCAGTGGGAACTGCAGCCCACCCCACAGTGTCCAGGGGCCGCCCTCACCATCCTGCCACCACCCCCCGGGCAGGAGCAGGGGCGGGAGGGGAGAGCCCCCGGGGAGAACGCAAGCCCCAGGTGGGTGCAGGGCACCGAGCTGCCCGGTCTGGTATGTGCGCAGGTGAGTGAAAGCCCCGCAGGCGGAGGCCAGGCTATGCAGGCACCGGGCGGCCACCCTCACTGCCGGTCCTGGAGAGTCCGGCGCAGGCCCGGGCCCGTGGGGCGGCTGGAGGGGGCTCACCAGGCAGGCGTCGCGCTCGCCCTCCAGGTAGCCGGCGCACAGCATGTCCTCGGTGATGGCGCCCTGCCCGGCCCCTCGCCAGTAGAGGCGGCCGCAGACTTCCGAGTCGATGATGGGGACCTTCAGCTTCTGCAGGGTCTGGGGGTGTGACAGGGGCACTGGGGGGGGAGGTGGTCAGGCTCAGGCAGCGTTCCTAGTCGCCTCCACAATTCCCCGCCCCCAGCCCCGGGACTGGCGGGTCATCACTCTGGGCCTAGGTCTTCGCCTCTGTGCCCGCTGGTGCCCAAGGGTGCCGAATCGAGCCTCTGCACCCCGGCTGGCATCTCAAGCCACGGACAGGCGAGGGCACGGGCGGGCGCCCCTCTCGGGCCCTGTCCACAGCGAGGAGACGGCCACAGACAAATGGTCACCGAGTGGTCACTGGTGGACCCCCAGCGTAGGGGGTCGGGCCCCAGGGCAGCCTGCAGACCCCCTGCTCCCAGCACCTGCCCGCGGAGACAGGGGTGGGCGCGGGGGATGGCCGCCCTCACCGGTGGGCTCCAGGACGCAGTGCTCCCCATCTCCGGAACTGGGGTGAAGGCCTTGCCCGCTGTCCTTTCCTGGGGCCGCTCCCTCCCCCACTTTCCTGCCTCCGTACTGAGCCCACTTTGTGTTTCTAGATGATGCTTCCTAAGCCCCCGGCTCGTGCGACAGGGTCACTGTCCCGCTTCCTCTTGGGCATCGTGCCCGCGCCGTGGCCTGCTGCCCGTGCCTGTCCGCGGGGCGCTCAGGGCGTTTCCACAGTGCCCGCGGGCAGGCCGGGGCCACACGGGCCTCCTCTCGGCCTCCCTGCACCGCCCGCAGCCTCACTGCTCCGTGTCGCTCAGACCTGCCGGACACGCTCCCGCCCGCGCCCCAGCCCGGCGCTGCTCTCCGGCCGCGGGCCTCGCCTTGCTGCCCGTGGTGCCCGGTCTCCAGGGCGCGCCGCCCGCACCCACCCCCACCCGCCGGGGGCAGCCGCACCTCCGTCGTGGACGCTGCCCCAGCCGGCGATCCAGCAGTCGGTGTCCGGAGGGAGCCGCACGGAGGCGTCCGGCAGGCAGATGGGCAGGACCCGCTCAGAGAACTGGACGGGGCGCTCCAGGCGCACCAGGGCGATGTCTGCCCGGGTCGCGTCCCTCCAAGAGTACACAGGGTGGGGGTGCGCCCAGGCGATCCCCACCTCCTGGGACCGCGGGCCGGGGTTCCCCAGCTGCCAGGCCCCCAGCAGCACGGAGAAGTCGGAGGGCTTGTTCAGGTTGCTGGAAGGAAGCGTGGGGTCAACCAGGGCCCCGGGCGCCGGGCAGTGCCGGGGGCGCCTGGGGAGGGAGGACCCCTCTGAAGACCCCGGACAGCGGCGGAGGCGCCTGGGTAGCAGCAGGGTCCCCGGGGAGCCCCGGGCCGGGCTGTGGGGCGCGGCGGGCCTACCCCTTGAAGCAGTGGGCGGCGGTGACCACCCAGCGGCTGGTGAGCAGGGAGCCCGCGCAGTGGTGGGTCCCGTTCTTCCGGATGCTCACGACCCACGGCCACTCGGCGTCCGCGCTGTCCGCGCCGCCCACCACGCGGTTCAGCTGCTGGGGCTTCCCGCAGGCCGGAGGGGCTGGCGGAGGAGGGGCGCGGTTCCCATCTCCCCACACTTCCTCGCCGCCCCGCCTCCCGGCGCCCTCCCGCTCACCCCCTGGAGCCCCCCCCTTCCCCCGCCCCTGGCTTTGACCTTCCTGGGCCCCGGGCGACCCAGGTGGCCCTCTCCAGGGTCGGCCCTCTGGGCGCCTTCCCTGCCCGCCCTGCCCCGCAGACAGACCAGGACAGACAGACCCTGCGTCCCCTCCGTGGCCCCCGCCCCAGCCACTCACCGCCTACTCACCGGGGGTCGGGACGGCGTGCAGGGCTGGGGGCAAGAGAAGCCGGGGTCAGACGAGCGGAGAGGAGCCCCAGTGCCCGGCGCCCAGGCCCTCTGCACCCCAGGCGGCTCCCCCGCGGCCCCGGGCGGCAGAGCCCCGGCCCCCGGCCCCCTCCCGCAGCCGCCTGCCCGGCTGTGCCAGCTGCCGCCCGCCCCGTCCCGGCAGGAACACCCAGGCCTCCCGGCGCCCTCGGGCCCACGATCCTGGCCGCTCCCCGCAGGGGCCCTACGGAGGCAGCGCCCGCAGGTGGGGGCGTCTGTGAAGACGAGCACCCCGCAGGCCCTCGGCCCCGTCCTTCGTGCCCGCCTGTCACCAGTCCTGTGGCTGGAGGGGAAACTGAGGCTCGAAGCAGGCAAATGACACGCCGGCGGTGGACAGAGCTGGCGCGGACGGGCGGGCGAGACCCAGCCGGCCCCGCGGACAGGCGGGCGGGGGCACAGACAGGAGGGGCCGCGGGAGACAAGAGGCGCGCGGGAGGGGCCCTGGCGAGGGCGGGCGGCGGGGACTCACCCGAGGGAGCCGGGAGCAGGAGCAGGAGCAGGAGCAGCAGGGCGGCGAAGACCCCGCGGCCGGCCGGGCCCAGGGCCGGGCGAGCGCTGGCGGCCACCATGGCGGGTGGTGGGCGCGGCGGCCACGACGTGTGGAGTCCGGGGATGTGTGGGTCCCTGCAGGTCGCCCAGGTTTTATCCTCGGAAGATAGGGCGGAATGCGGTTGGACCAGTCCCGGGTGGCTCAGCCCGCCCGCGGGTCACAGGGTGGAGGAGGCCGCAGAGGGAGGAAATGCCGTTATGGGCCTGGGGCTCCCGCACGCCAGCCCCCCCATCCCCCCCAATCCCGCCCCCACCCCCACCCCACCCCCGCCATTCTGGGGCTGGCGGGAGCAGGAGCTGAGCAGAGGCTTCGACATGGACTGTCCAGGGGCAGAGAAGGGCCTGCAGCTAAAGGGAGGGGTCGGGGCTGGAGCCCTAGAGGCCTGAGTCTTGGGGGAGGCTGGGGGGCATGGGCTGGGGGGCTGCCCGGCACAGCCTGGGCCCGGCCTCTGTGACTCAGCCAAGTGGGAACCCGTTGACCCACTTCCCAGCCCCGGTGACCACGCTGCCCACCCCTTCCTTTAGGCCTGCACCCGGAGCCCTGCACCCAGACCCCTGGGCAGCCTGGGGGGTGTCACTGAGGGGCGGTCCTTAAGGGCCTGGGTGGGGCTCCACACCCCACTTGGCCCCTGCACTGTGGAAGCCCTGATCCCCCAAGGGTCACAGCGACTCTGGGCTGCTCTTGAGGACCCCTGGTGGGAGCACTGGTGCCCCCCCAGGAGACCCCACTGGTTCCGCCCAGACTCAGCCCTGCTCCCCTCACCCCCAAGATGTGTGTGCCCACCCCAGGGTGGGCGCCCAAGGGGCACCAGCCACACAGTCGGCCCCGTCCCTTGCCTCTCAAGCCCCCTCTCACTCCTATTTGCAGGCAGAACCAGGCCCTGGGGCGCCTGGTGGCACCCAGGCTTGTGAGTGGGGACCTGGGCCTGAGCCCCGATTCTGGACGCAGCTCAGTGGAGCCTGAGGGAGCCCAGCTCAGGGGACAGAGGTCATCACCCCGTTGTGTAACGGGGAGTGGAGTTTGGGGAGCCAGGGGCACCTCACCCCCTGGGGCTTGGGGTCTGGAGAGGGCCCCAGGGCCTTCCGAGCTGTGGGGTTTCAGGGGCTGGCAGGACTCCGCTGGCCCCGGGAATGGCCTGGGCGGGTTTCCCAGACCCCCGCAGACACAGTCTGGACTCCAGCGCCCGACGGCCTGGTGCTCCGGCCCTGCTCGGCGGGGGCGGGGGGCGGGGGCGGCTGGGGGCTAAAGGGCAGACACCAAGGAGCCCCCACCCACCTCACTCGAGGACAAGTGGGCACCCAGTGGCCCCAACTGAGGCATAATCCTCTGTCCCAGGCCTGGGGGGCGCGCGGGAGAGCAGCCGGGCGGGGCCTGCCCCCTTGGGGCCCTCAGCCAGTGGAGCAGGAGCCGGCCCTGCCCCGCCTCAGTGACTCACTCTCCTGGGGTCCCCTCCACACCTTGTGACTGGCCCAACCCATGCTCCCCCAACCCGCTCCCTTCCCGAAACTAAGGTGGCTGGTTGCCCCTAACCAGTGACATGCACGTACTGGGCACCTGCTGTGTGCCACACATGTGCTGGGCAGCGGGGCTCGCGCTGAGTAAGACACAGGGGCTACCACAGGCAGCCTGCCTCTCCCGGGGCTGGAAGGGTGGGCGGTACTGACAGCGGTGTCTTGGGGGTGGGCACAGAGGCCCTGGGACTGGGCAAGGGGTCTTGGGGAATGGGGTGGCTGGTACTGACCCTGAGGGCCACCCCAATACTGGGTGCCGTACGCAGTGACTCCTGGGGAGGGATGGTGTGAGGAGGCGCCCGGTGACTCCTGGTCTAGGTTGGAGCCTGGTGCACACGGGTCTCAATAGGTGTTTGTTGAATGAATAACTGAGTGTAGAAGGGGTGAGTGGAGAATTCTGCTAGGGGCCAGCAGCTCCCACCTCCTGCCTATCCAGTTTCCTCCCCACCCCAGCTTCTCTGCCTTTCATGAGGCCTGGACAGATGCCCTGGTGACCCGAGGGACGGGCATGTGCCGAAGATGCTGCTGTCCCTGAGCCGGGGGCCAGGCAGGCCCACAGAAAGGGGCCCGCAGGAGCCGAGGAAGTCCGGAGAAGCGGGGGAGGCCTTCCTGGCACGAGTCCTGGGCGAGGGCCCCAGACAGCGGCGCCCTGGTTCCCAGGCGTGGAGACCCTGGCAGGATTCAAAATTCATTCAACAAAATACCGAGTGCCCGCTGCGTGCCCATCCACACCCCGCACCCCGGCTGCGCGTCCTTCCCGGGGGGTGACACGGATGGGCTGGGGGCGCAGCCGGGCTGGCAGACCACTCACCGGGGCCGGCCCGAGGGCCACGCTGCACGGGCGCTGGGCGCGTCGGGGGCACTAGGGGCAGAGGAGGGCGTTCCATGTGGGGGACTCGGGGGCACCCACAGGGAGGGGCCTTTGCTTCAGAGCAGGGGGGCAACTGCTGGCCTCAGGGGAGCGGGGGCAGAATGCTCCCCAGATGGGAGGCACCGGGAGGGGCGGGGGCCCCCGGGCCTGGGGGGCGCTGGTTGAGGGGCTGCCCAGCACAGCCTGGGCCCGGCCTCTGTGACTCAGCCAAGTGGGGACCCGTCCAGCTGTTCCCGGGGCAGCCTTCGGGCGGCCCTGGAAGGGGGATGGGCAGATAAGACAGTGAGGGTGGGGGCTCCCCAGCGGCCTAGGGGTTGATCTCAGGCTGTCACGCTTCGGCCTGAGGGAGCTCCCCCCAGGGCGCGGCGACCTCTCCTGTCTCCCGCTGCTCCCCTCAGCAGTGTGTCTCAGTGGATCCGTCTGTTCTGCTCCCCACTCTCTGTACCCCCCCACCTCTGGCCTGCACCCCAGCTCTACACAAAAATTTGAAGAAAAAAAAGGCAGTGACAACGGTCCTTGTCGGACCCTGCCCCGGCACCGGTGCCCCGGGCAGCCGCCCTGCCCGACCCCACGCGCGGGCTCCCGGCCCAGCGCCAAGGCAGGTGGGCGACGGGGAGGCTGGTCTCCCCGGAGGCGAAGGGCCCGGGGGCTTCTTGGGGCAGCTGGGACGGGGATCCAGGCAGAGACAGGCCGCCCACCTCACCCCCCCCCCAGTGCACGTGGCCAGTCCCGCTCCCCCAGCCCCGCCCCTACCCGCCCCCCCCGTGCCCCACTCCCCCCCCACCCCCCATCCTGCTCCTGCCGGGAGCCCAAGGGACAAGCAGGGCCAAGGGCCGGTGCTGGGCGCCTCCTCTGTGAGCCCCAGGAGCTGTCCTGGCACGGCAGGGGGCACGGGCCCCGGAGCCCATGTTTCCCGGGACGTGAGGTGCTCTGGAGCCAGAGGGAGGCGGGGGAGGGGTGGGGGGGGTAGGGGGTGGGCCTCGGCGGGGAGAAGGTGCTGAGATCCCGGGCGCCTGCTGTGCTGCAAGTGGAGACGTGGGACTCGGTGGCGCCTGTGCCGGACCCAAGCGGTGCCCGGGACCCCAGCTCAGCCCCCAGCTGGCAGGGGGAGGCCACCTGCCCAGGAGGCCCAGGTGCCGGGTGGCGTTGGGGGGGGGGGCCTGGGGCGGAGCTGTCTGGTTTCCGGTGCTAATGGTCGGTGACACCCAGCGTGGCTGGCCTGGGGCGCTGGGGACCTGCGCTGCCTCCGCCACCCCTCGGGGCGCCTTCCGCGCTCACCTCCCCCGCTGTCCCGGGAGCCGCTGGCGGGCGCTGTCCTGCTTCTGCACAGCCGGCTCCCCTGAGGCCCCTGCATCCTCCCAGGTCGCCCTCGGGCCCCTCCAGCTCGCACCCGCCGGTCTCTGCGCCCCGAGCGCCCCCGCGCGCCCCGCTCCTGCTCACGCTTTGGATCTCTGGCTCAACCCTGCAGCGGGGTCTGGTGCCCCCACCCCTCACCCTGCCTCCAACTGGGAATAAAATGCAAAGGAAGTGGAGCGCCCCCTCCTCGCCCAGCCCACCTTCCCCTGTCTGGGGGAGCCCCCGCCCTCCCCCCCCACCCTCCGCAGCCCCCCACTTCCTAAAGGCAGAGACCCTGGCTGTTGTTTGCTCCTGGGCGGGGCGCTGTGGACCTGCCGGCCGCAGGCCTCACCGGCCACGACTCGTCTCCAGAGAGTGGGGGGCTGGTCCTGGGCCCCACCAAGACAGCGGCCTTCCAGGCCGGCCCTCCCTGCTGCGAGCTTCTCCCAGGGCTGTCCTCCGGTCAGGGCATCCCGAGGTTGCTCCCCGCCTTCCCCCTCGGAGCCGTCGGCTGCCACCTGGATTTCTGCGTCTCCACAGCTCCCCACGGCCCCCCCAACGCCAGGCGGGTCAGCCGGGCTGTGCCTGGGGCAGGAGGGCCGGTGTTGTCCCCTGCGGACAAGTCCTGGATGGTGCCCTGCCCACCGCAGCCCTCTGCCCACTGCTTCCTCGAGTTGATGGAAACCCTTTGTATTGCCCCCCAAAGCCCCACAGAGCGCAGGCCACGGACCCTGGCTTGGGCGCCTGTTTGCCTGTTGACCGCGGGGGCGTCAGCCGGGGGCTGCTGCCTGGTCTGCACAGGCCCCTGCAGGTGGCTGACATCACATCAGCCTCGCGCGCTCAGGGGGGCCATGGGGCGAGTCCCACCTAGGAAACAGCGTCACCCACAGGCCCCCCAGGCTGCTCGCTCTGGCCGAGCCCTCGCAGCCTGCCCAGCACCCGCCGGGCCCGCTGTGGACACAGCACCGAGAGACCGGTCTGGAGCGACGGCTTCCTCCACCGCCTGGAAGCGGGAAGCGCTCGGGCCAGGCAGGGCTGGGCGGGGAGCCTGAGGCTGGCGGGAAGCTGGGCCAGAGAGGGGGAGGGAAGCGGGCGCGCTGGACACGCTGACTCGCTGGGTGCCCATCACCAGCTGGGCAGCTTCCAGAACTCGCCATGACACATCGGTGATGGGCAGCACCGGGAAGCAGGGCAAGACCCTGGAGTCGCGAGGTCAGAGGTCATGGCCCAGGGCATTAGGAGAGGCGGTGGCCGACTGGCGGGCACTAGAACGTGGCGAGGGGTGGGGGGTGCAGAAAGGGG